TCTCGCCGACGCTTGCACAGCGTGAGTGTTGTGCTGTAGCGTTCGTAGTTTAGGGTTTAGGGTTTAGGGTTTTGAGGATCTTCACCATGTTCGAGGTGTGGTGGGGATCCATGGGTGTCGGTGTCCGATGATTTCTCTATCCAACGATTGATGACCGGAACCAGGAAGATTGGATCATGGATATGTCTTTTTTAAGGGGGGGATATGGTTCCTCAATCAAATCCAAGAGGTGGGAACCGGTAATATAATCTCATAAACGTTAACATACTCGCACATTTACAACATACCATAAAATTCTATACATATGGGGATTGCTCAATCCCGGACACTTTCGGTCATCCGCAGCTTTCCACCGCGGCCGGCGCGGAGGATTTGCTCACCGAGCCTTCGTTGTCCATTCACAGCCCAGAGCCTCTAGAGCCTGCAGAGGCGAACAAATCCGCTGGGTTTGGAGATGCTGTTTTTTGCATGCCCACTTGGTGTAGGGTATTATATATATATATATATCAGTTATTATATTATATATGATACAAGGTTTCACAGATAATAAATGAACAGTCGGGTTTCACAAGAACATCACTATGTTTTAGAGATGGATGGAAAGGATTACTACCTAACCAAAAGGGATCAATCCACTGGGCCCACTGGATGGGATAAAACCATATAAAACCCCCCAAGAAAACATGTTTTCCCGAGTGTTTCCAACTGCACATGTGTTGCGTTCTTCTCGCCACTTCTCGCCCCTTCTCGCCTTGTTCTTGGTGTCACGACCTCTCGTGACTCGCACAGGCGTTCGTGCTCCGCCATTTCTAACATGTTCCGATAGTTCTAACATGTTCTGTTTCAGTTATGCTGTGGAAGGGACGGCGGGGGTGGGGGGGCAACTACGTTGAGGCTTGTTGCGTTCGAGGGCCAAGGTACACTGACCGCAGGTTTTGAAACTCAATGCGTTCGTTATCCCTTCGTTGTTGTGTGTCTTTGTGCGTTGTGATTCTTCTTCGGTTGACTCGTCGTGACTCGTCTTTGTTCTTTCCGTCCCTGTAGTTGAACATTTTTCGGGTGGACATCTTTGTTCGGGTGGTCAAGGATTCATTAGGTCTCGCCGTGCTGGACATTTGCTTAGACCCTGACCGGTGGGTGTTAGATTTCTATTGTCTGGAGGAGTACGGGGAATGTTTCTGGTTGTGTTGGCTGTCCGTGTGGGACGAATTTAAAGAACAATCGTACAAACCACCAAGGGTCGCAGCCTCTTTGTTTGTGTTGAGTACAATGCCTCCACACAAAATGTCATGGAAAGATTGGCGTCGTTGTGAGCTCACTGGCGCGGTGAAAACTGATGATGCAACTTGTTGGGGGTTGGAGGAAATGGTGCGCTTGTGAATCCCAATGTTCCATTGCTGCCTGTTGTTCACGTTTGCTTCTTGGAGTGTGTGAACCCATCCAACCCTGGGAGTTTGGGGCTTATTCACGCTGGACACTGGGCGCATTCAATGGATCCCCATGACGGAAAGATCCTCTATAAGATCCCTTGCTCGGAGGCTTCTGTGAAATCTGCTGTCTTTGGAAGTGCTCTTGCTGCGAACCGCCTTTGCAGGGCTACGCGATGTGAATATTGATGTGTAGATTAGATTTCGTGGCAGGCGCAGGACTTTGTGGACCTTGAAGTGCAGATTTCGTGGGAGGTGCGGCAAACGGGCTCTCATATGCGTGCTCTGTGCTTTTCATATGTGTGTTCTCTGGACCTCCAGCCAGAGATCGCGAGATATCTCTCTCTAGAACTCTGGACCTAGACCTTCAAGTCTAAACCTGGTTTGTGAACCATCACCACCTTCACCATCATCACCACCACCATCTCCATTACCACCATCACCTCGCCCTGGAGCCCAATACGTCTAGATCTCTGACCTGCTTTTACACCTCTAGACTTACTTTATAAACATACACCATGATGCACCGTTTGGGGTCTCCTGCCCGGATAATCTGGCAGGTCCTGAGGGAATCTTCGGGTTTCGGGTGATCTACAACATATTGGGGTGAGAAAATCTGATGCTTTTCTGTTGCTGCAACAAGGGTACCTCCCCACAAAATCCCAGGCATTTCAAAAGCCACCCCGGTTCCACCTCAGAGGGCTGTTGGAGCCCAAATGGGTGTAGCTTGCAATACGCAGAGCAACTCCAGACCCAACCAACACATAGACGCATAGACCTAGTTTTATGGACTCGGGGATTTTTCCCGGTTCCTGGATGTTCCTGGGTGAGTCACGGTGAATGCCCAGTTTATTGGGTGAGTCATGTTGGAGCTATTAATAGCTAAAGGTTCTTCCAAGAACACGTAGAGTCGTAGAGAGTATCCAAGAACCAATCCAAGAACACCCAGGCAGGGTCAGAGTTGAAGATTTCACCACAGCTTCGGTCCTCGTCTTCCGCGCCACGAGGGCGCCCCGAAGCCCGGCGCTCCAGGTGCCGAAACCTCCCTCTCCAGCGCTGCCGCGCGAAGCGGTCGACCGCAGGCGGCGGTCGAAGCTGATCGCATCGGGGTTCGAATGGTGAAGGTGGGCATGTTTGAGTGATAACCTACAGGCGTCCAGAACATCCAGACAGGATGGATGTGACATGATGTGACACTGGCAGACGCAATCATGTTATGGCACCTGGTACTTGGTGCGGATCGTCTTGAGTCGTTCATTTGGAGTTCTGAGTTCCACTATTAGTGACCAGCGACATCGTGGGATTGCTGGATCTGTGCGAAGCATAGCGTCACTTTCCCAGACACTCCACGGGACTGCCATATATGCCTACATTGGGGTGGTTTGACGGGTCAATGTAGGCATATATGGCAGTCCCATGGAGTGTTTGGGTTTGATCAAACAATAACATCTCTTTTGGGGGTTAAGTGCTTGGCGCATCAATTCCTGACATCATGCGGGGCCCTTTTTTGCGCGTGAAGTCTCATGATTGTCCACTCAGGAGTTCCAACTTGGGTTTGAGATCCAGCAAGTGGATATACCCATTTTCCACCCATAGATGGCCTTCACCTTTGCAAAGTTGGTTGATAGAGGGGATACCCCGGTCGTGAACTATAGGCACATGGTACCTGGCGCCCCTTTTATTGACGGTCGGACATCATGCTGGTCCCCCGCCAGGTCCACCTACAACGTCCAGTCGACGAGCCCAGGTTCAATCTGGCCTTTGACCTCCTTGAGTAGTATGACCAACTCCACTAAAACGAGGTCAACAAAAACTGACGAAGAGACTTCACTGTCTTCGTCTTCTCACCTCGGTTGTTTCTTTCTCGTGCGTGCTGAAAGGCCTCCACGCCCGGAGCCGCAACAAGCAGCGATTTGGGCACCGCCCACACCCACACCCACGCGGCAGCGAAACTTTGGGGGATGGGTGCAGGAAAGCCGCACAGCTGCAGCCAGGGGTGATGCGTGAATGAATGTGAGGTGGGCATGTGTGGGCGAATTGACAATTTGTTTGATTGTTGAAAATTCATTGATTGCTGTTTCAAGTTTCCATGGTGCCAAACAACGCGCTGACATGGGACAAACAACGCTCAACTTGAAAGTGCCAAAAAAGATGTTTGTGGCACTTTCCTTGTTTCCCTATGCCTGACATGTGCGAACACACTGATCAACCCGGCAAGTTGGGCCTGGGATGGGAACTCAATGTTGACCATTAGGACGTCAGGCCTTTCAAAATTATGTATGTTCATTGTTGAGGGCTTTTGTAATTTTTTGGCCTGAATTTGAACCTCAGCCCCGCAAATGTATCCACGTGATCCAGCTGAGAAAGGGTCAATCCCCCCAAAAAAAAACTGTACAGACCCTAGGTCCCAGTACAACATAGTACAACCGGTATAAAAAAACACAAAAGATCCTGCTTATCAATTTGACAATGCAAGTTTGTGACATGATCGGCCAGATCGCCCGCATCCTCGCCCTCATCGAAGCATCGCCCCTTCGTGGCCGTCGAACTTTCGTCCCTTCGTGGCCTCCGAGTGCTTCGGCCGCGTCCAGGTCCAGCTTCGAAGCCTCGGCGCCCAGGCGCGCCTCCGCACCTCGCGGCAGGGATCGCTCCCACGTGTCACGGGCCGAACAGCGCCGAAGGTGTTGGGGTCACGGGCTCAGGTGGTCCAGGTGGGGAGCCGCCATCGATCAGGTCGATTTGCATCACCAAACACCAAGGATCACTCCCTGCAACACCAGTTCTCCAACAGGGTAGCATTGTCCATGGGATCTTGGATGTGCTGGCGGATGTGTCATCGTTGAAGGACACTCAACTGGGCGAGGCGATAGTGAGGTACTCTTCCACGAAGGGTGAAAGCAATGAGAACCGGTCCACCAGTCCGTATAAACCGCTGACTGGTGAGATGAGGGAATCTGAAAGAGAATCAGCGATAACACATGGTGTGCTCTTTCTTTAGAGACCCAAGATAAACATTAGGGGTTTGTGTTCTGTATTGTGTTTTCTAGCTATTAATTTGCATTTATGTAGGGTCTACAATGTTGAGACATTTGGGCATTTTCTCCCAGCCTCAAAAAGATAAATTGAGACCTTCAAAGCCGCCCAAAAGCAACTGATTAAACTGGCCCTTCAGAATCTACGTCTTCTGGAAAGTTGACCTGTTTGAGAACTTATAAAACATTAAAAACATATATATATATAGTGTCTTGCGCGTTTGGAGAAAAACCGAGTTATCACTCCGAGTATCTAAGGCGCCAAGGCAAACAATATGAGACTAGAATACTGTTCTTGCATTGACTTGTAAACCTTTTGCAAGGTTGATGTGCACATTGTGTTTTGATGTATCTATATATATATAATACAATATAGTATTATATATATATTAGTGTATATACTGTTTATCTTTTTGACATAATAGAACATATACATGTTTTGATTGATACCCCCAAAACACCTGAGTCACTCCAGCCTCTCCAGCCACGGCGTGGCTCCCCCTTCAGCTCTGGAGGCGATGCCCGGCGGAAGAAAGACTTTGAGGAGCTGGGCCCAAGGCAGGTGGGGGGATAGGTCGGTCGGACATGCTGGACAGGTCCGACATACGGTTTCCTTCTGGTCTTTAGGCTTTGGGTGGAGTGACTCCGATGCGGTTGTTTTTGTGGAATTCGTTCCTCAAAACAAACAGGCACAGCGCTGCATATATATATATATATACATGTATATATACATTACATATTTCACAGCAGTATAGGATCAGATATTTATTATGAATTGATTTGAATAGTCTATATATGTTATGTTTGTTTTGTTTGGGGGGTTGAATAAGTTGTTCTGCTTCATGGCTACGATGTTCTTCTTTGAGATCTTTTGTCGGACCTCTCAAGCCTCGGGCGTCATTGCTTGATCGGTCAAGCCAAGGGACGAGCGAATTGAACTTAGTAAAAGCCGAGATCCTGTGAGGATTCTTGGTGCTTCATGTGCCTTCGCAAGTGCTTTCAAACCAGCTTCATCCAGTGTTCAATCTCCAACAAGGAGCATCCTGTCTGGATGTCCTGGCTGGACTGCCCTACACTACTTCGGGATCTCGTCCAGCCAGGACATCCATTGAATGCTCTTGAAAGGATCAGCTTCAAATGATGTCTTTCTGTTTTTGTTCAAAGGGATCTTCCGAGGTGCCCCAATGGCAAGCCCATGACTCGGGAACTGATGATCAAGGAGGCGCTGCAGAAAGTTTGCCCGGGGAGAAACAAGGGAACTGTGCAAAGTGCTGGTGAGTCAATGCTTGGGCTTGAGACTTTGGGGTGTTCTTCTTTAATTGTTAAAGGATACCCTAACCATTTGATATAGTCCGGAACCTCTTTACCGCAAATTCCCCAAGTCCGTGTGACATGATGTGACATGTACATAACTGGTACTATATTTGTGTTATTTGGATGAGCAAAGCAACTTTGCTTTGCTTAAAAACATGTTTAGGATGAGCATCCGCCATGCACCTTGCTTGTGGAGTGCGCACTTGGGGGAGATGTGGACCTTGTCAGCCAGTCGATGCTCTACTGTGCTATGTGAGAAACAGGCAAATCCTACTCCAACTCAGATACAGTAGCTCCCCAGCTAGGACATCCTGTTGCAGTGGTATTTGTACTTTATAGTATAGGTTAATGCATCTCGCCCACAGTGGAAGACCTCCTTGAGACAATGAGTTCTAAACATGCAACCGTTGGGTGTCTTTGTTCTCTGCCTAGACGTCCAAAAACGATCTTTGGAAGTAAAGGCAGTTTCTTTGGAATATTTTTTTGGGTTGGTGAGTCAGACCATTTTTCAATTCGTCTCGGACGTCTTTGCCGGGTCTTGCTTTCGGACGACGCGCACACCTCGTCCGCCGCCGGACGACGCCACGCTCCAGGGCCAAAAGCGCCGCAACTCGGAGGGCAGCCGAACTCCGAGCCTCCGCCGATTCCTGTCCAGAGGCTGGGAGTTAACACAAAGAACGGTCCTGGGGTTTCTGGTGGAACACAATCCCTCACAGTATGCTCATTGAGGTGGTATATATATATATGTGATTAGTTTTATAGGTCATACCTATTCCGTAAATCATGGAGTGCTTGGGAATGGGAATGTACATGAATTAGGCATTTAAGATTCATGTGCCTTCAGCGTCCTTGATGACAATCCGCATGTCTAGACTGTTTGTCATTTGGGAAGAAACAGTCGTGACGGTAACATGGGCAGGACGTTTCAACATTGTTTCTGAACTGAGTCTACAGACAAGCAGCGACAGGCATCCTTTTTTGACAGTCAAGTTCGGCAGCAAACCACTGAAGGGTATCTAGGGTAACCGCTATACACGAGAAATTTTAGATGCGGGTGTAGATGCAAAATTGGAGAGTCTGGTGATGCAGGTGGATCCTCACCACAAAGTGGTGCAGACACGCCCAGCGCCTTGGACTCTGTTGATGACACGCCCGGCTTCGGATCCTGGTAGTACCAGGGGCACACGAGCAGCATGGCATTCGGGAGGTAGGTCCAGTCACGAGCAGCTCAACAAAGTTGTAAAGAAGAAAGGTCTTAAACACATGGTCTAAAGAAGAAATGTCTAAACACATAATGTTAAACAAACAATAACAGTGAAAGTAACTACCAGGAGTCACAAAGGGGTGGTGTTTAGTCCCCAAGTGAGTGGATGTTCCGGGCACCCCTAACCTCCATGGATCGCACCCGACATGTGACTGCAGGTATGTTCTTGTCGTGTTCCAAGAACATCCATCAGCCAGCGCAAAGTAGGTGAACATGCAACCACCGGACTTGACGGAACCAGCCAGCCAAACGAGCGAAACGAGCGAACATAGCAACGAGGCAACTGGTTGGGGGGTCAGGCTCGGTAGACCGAAACATCGCTCACCAGAGGGATGAAATTCTGAAGGAAGGTCGGAAGGGTGCACGATTGAAATACCTTCAGCAGAGCGTTCGGGAAGAAGACTCAACCAGGCCATTACTTGAGCCGCCTCTCAAGTAGATGGACCTTGCACAGCCTTACAAAAAGCCACAGGTCACAAGGAAGTGCGAGTGATCCTTGAACCATCCAAAAATTGCATTCCTGCATAATGTGCTCGCTTGATTTTTGGGATTGCCTCATGTTCTGCGTTTGATGCTTGTGCTTGGACACCAACACACAAACACCGCTGTTTGCACAACGGTGCACATGGTAAGGTGGGCTCATTGGCAGGCGAGGCGCTTGGACGTTCTGCAGCTAACTCGGTGGACGGAGCGATGTCCACCACGAGCGTTGACATGAACACCTGAACATCCCAGACGCGACCCATGGGACGGACTGCCGAGAAAAGGCCAGGGGTGGTGCCAGGGTGGTTACTGTAGGCATATATTCCATACACTATTCCATACATGGAGTGTATGGGTAATTCATATCCGGAGACCCAAGCATCTCCAACCACCGACTTGTGCATCACAAGACTTTAGTCCTGGCTGATCCTTGAGACCCTCTAGCTCGCTAAATGCACCTGGAGTAGACAGAGTCGCTACGTCAGGAAGAATCACGTGGATTTCACTAAAGCACAAGTCCTGCTACGTTGGTCAGGAAGAATCACGTCGGTTCTTCATGTCCCAGCCCGTGCGTTCAGTGACGCGTTTGGTGCCTCAAATAGGACCGATATATACCTAGAACCTCATTGACCACTGTTTTGGAGCCAAAACATGTTTTTCTTATCAAAGCAGAGGTCAAATGGGTTCTAGGTATATATATATATAAGCATATCTCAGGAACTCCACTGGAACAACGATCCACCAGGACCTCCCCACGTTTTGAGATCCCAGAGTAAGGTCTTTGATGTCTTGACAACACTGACACTGCGTACTGTATAATTACCCCTAGGGCTCCAATGTTTGGAGGGTCCAAATACCTTCTGAGGAGGTACGACTGGAGCCCCAGGGTACGTAGAAACTCTGAACAGTCCTGCTAGGTCCACTTAATGACCTGAGCATCGAGTATACATTGCTGAGATTGTAGTGGTCATGAAGGGAAGACATCCACAGTCTTGGTCCTGCACCACCTGGGATATATAGAGACTGTCAGTTTTCTGCGAGAAACCTTGGTCGTCCGGCATGTGCTTTGATGTTTGAATCCGTTTCCTTTGCGTCCGCAAGAGAGGTGGGACGCGCGCGATCGACCTTGAGCTTTGATGGCATACGCCATGGTTGGAAAAAAGGCAGCATTGAGCTTGCTGCGAGAGATCAGGGACTTCGTTTGCCGCTGATTGTTCGTTGTTGGTGTCGCGGAGCCTGTTGGTTCTATGGCGACCGCTTCCACCTCGAATGGTGGAACCTCCTCGACCTATGCAGGCAAGGCTCATGAGAACATCCCCGAGTTCAGTGGAAGAGCTAGCGATTACAAAGAGCTTCGCAAGAGGCTGATGCTCTATGACAAGAAGATGAGCCTTGCTGGCCGTGCTGCTGAGACCTCCTTCAATGTTCTTTGCACCCTCAAAGGCAGAGCTTGGGACGCCTGCGAGGACCTGTCCATGTCCGATTTGGAAGGCAGCACTGGCATGCAAAAGATTTTGGAGCGACTTGACAAGGTGTTCAAGTACGATGCAATCACCGAATTGCCTGGTGATTTTGAAGCTTTCTTTTGCGGCCTGCAACGCAAGAGGTCATCCACGCTGCAGGAGTATGCTGGTGATTTCGAAAGAGCACTTCGCAAGCTGGAAGCTCACAACGTGAACCTCCCGGACAAGGTGGTTGGATGGTATTTCATGAGAAGAGCTGGTTTGAGTCAAGCCCAACGACAGTTGATCATGTCTGCACTCGGCACCGGGACTTTGAGTCTGGAAACCGTGCGCAAAGCAATGAACTTTGTGATTGGGCAAGACAGCATTCCAGAGGAAGCAACCACCAGCAGAGCACATCGTTGGACCAAGTCGTATAAGGACTCCATCTACTATGAGGACGACTTTGAAGAGTATGACGACCTGGAGTATGACGACAACGAGTGCTACTGGGCTGATCCGGAGGAGGATGACGGCTTCGGTGACTATGAAGCCGATGAAGGAGACGATGAGGTCCATGTCATCAATGAGGACCTAGCTGCTGACTATGATGATGTGATGGCAAGCTACACCGAGGCACGTCAGAAGTTGAACCAGATGAGAATGTCAAGAGGCTACTATCCTGTGGTAGCTATGGTGCCTGAACAGCCATCGTCAGCAGGAAAAGGAGTCTCCTACAACGGAAAAGGAGGTGGAAAAGGCAAGGGCAAATCCAAGAGCAAGGGCAAGGGTGATCGCAATAGGCAGTTGCCTCGACCACCACCACAAGCCAAAGCCCGAGGAAAAGCCGCTCTTGGTGCCGATCGTTGCCTTCGTTGCGGTCAAGCAGGACATAGAGCCAAGAATTGTCCGGTCGCCGGCACGAAGAGGAAGGCCGAAACCAACCTTGAGACCGACATCAACATGGTCATGGACGAGATTCAGCTAGCAGTGGAAGATACCACTGGAACATCGGATGATGTCGCCATGATGGATTGTGGCGCTGGCTCAGTTTTGACGTCAGAAACACAGCTGAAGAAGTACCTGAATGTCCTTTTGATGGCCGGCTTCAAGGTGGACCAGATCCCTGTCTTCAGGTGCAAGAAGGGTTTCCGTTTCGGCAATGGAGAAAAGAACATCACCTCGTTGTGCCTGCTTCTGCCGACCTTCATGGAAGGAGTTCGACGTGACATCCTGATGTATGTCATCCCAGGTCGAGCACCGTTTCTCTTCGGTCGGCCAATCCTTGAGGCCTTAGACATCACGATCAACTATGCCTCCGGAAAGATCAAGTGGGGCAAGAAGGCCTGGAAGGTCTGTCCAAGGGGAACACGAGGAGAGTTCTTGTGTCACATGGCAGCTGATCTGAAGAAGCTCATGAATCAGGAAGCCAAGAGCGTGTTGCTGCCCGATGACTTTGAAGCTCACGTGCACCCAGAGATGATGACGACTGATGTCTTCTTTGACGGCCAGTCGACTGAGATGCTGAATGTGGCCGAAGATGAGGTGCACAGTGTGATGGAACAGAAAGAGCAGGCAAGTTTCACTTCCGTGTCTTCCATTTTGGAGGCATCCTTCAAGTCGGATTGTGAGAAGAGTGCAACATCTCCTGAGTCTGCAGGAGCTCATCCGACAGTGCAAGAGAATTCAAAATTTTCGCAATCGCAGTTCACCATCGACCTGTCGAACGATGAGGTGATGTTGGAGCTAGATGATGCTGATCCAGGGCAAAACAACTCTGCTGCTGCTTCTCCGTTGGCATCTCCCTCACCGATCTCGCCTATTTCACCAAAGGCGGATCCGGCAGAGCATGAAGAGTTCAGCAAACTTCCCAATGGCAAGTTGAAACAGTTGCTTCATGACACTGAGAGGCGACTGAAGGAATTTGATGATGTGCTGCAAGCTTCGCCCCTTCGTGAGTTTGCCTCCAAGCGTGTGATTTGGGAGCTCTTTGCAGGTGAAGGAAGAGTCACTTCGACCGCAAATCGCCGACAAGGTGTCACAGCTGAACGGTTTTCTCTGCAAGATGGTTGGGACTTCACTCAGTCCTCACATCGTATGGCATTCCTTCGTCGGCTCAAGGCTGAGGAACCCGATGCTGTTTTGATGTCACCAATGTGCAAATTGTGGTCGCAACTGCAAGAGCTGACAGTGGCTTCCAAGGCTGGCTATGCTGAGCAGTTGGATGAGCTTCGTCAATGGGATCATGACACGATCCTGATGTTTTGTGCTGTGGTCTATGAGCACCAGAGACGCAGAGGACGACTCGCTCTATGTGAACATCCTCGTCACTCGCGTGCTTGGAAGACACCAGCCTTTGAAGAGATGCAAGGCTATGATGCGCCAGTTGACCAGTGCATGTTTGGTCTCCGTCTTCCAGATGAAAGTGGTCTCATCCAGCCTGTCATGAAGCCCACGAACTTCAGAGTTACTGGAGAAGTGTGTCAGCTGAAGTTGGCTCGCAAGTGCGATGGAAGTCATGCCCACACACACCTTGAAGGCCACATCCCAGGAGTTGGACTTCGCTCATGGCTTGCAGAGAGCTATCCACAAGCATTGGCCTCGCACATCGTGAACGCCATTTTGGCTGACCTCGATGCCAATGATCCTGCTGATGTCTTTGCAGCAGATGATGATGAAGAAGCACTTCAAGATGTGCCAGTTGATGAAAAGAAGGAAAAGGCACTTGCAGAGCGTGCTGAGGAGAAGCAGATCCAGAACCTCGACTCCGATGCTTTTCAAGCCTTAGATCCTGTCCGGAAGAACAGAGTGCTGAAGGCCCAAGTTGGTCCTAGAGCTGTTGAATATGTCCAAAGGTTGCATAAGAACCTCGGTCATCCTGGCTGGGAGATTCTTCATCGCATGCTACGTGAAGTTCAAGCAACCGACAATGTGCTTCAAGCAGCTCGATACTACACCTGTCCTCTTTGCTATGCCCGGAAGCCTCCGAAGCAAAGTCCTCCTGCATCTGGACTGAAGTGCACTGAGTTCAACGACCGTGTTTTGGTGGACAGCCATTGGATCTCTTGTGAAGACAGCATGGTCAAAGTTCGTGAACCTGCACCTGGCACTCCAGCTGCGAAGAGAAAGGAGAAGGACAAGGCTGAAAAGCGACCAACTGGAAGGCAGTGTGTCCTCACGATCATAGATCATGCAACTCGCTACTGTGCCATTCGCATCCTGACCTCCGAGAAGGCCAAAGAGTTCACCAAGGGCATGGAGCGAGCATGGATCAAGCACTTTGGATGTCCACGCATCCTCAGGATCGATGAGGCAAAAGGCTGGTCCAGTCAACATGTCAGAGAATGGGCCACTCAGAGAGGCATCAGTTTGGAAGTTCAGCCAGCTGAAAACCGCACATGGCTTGGTGTTGTTGAGAGAAAGCATCAAGTGGTGAGAAGAGCACTCGAGCTGTACATGGACCAATGCGGCCGACATGACCTTGCAGCCCTGAAGGAAGCAGCTCTCTATGTCCCACACAGCATCAACCAGCTGAGCTTTCATCGTGGCTTTACTCCACAGCAGTGGGTTCTTGGCAAGTCAATGACTTACGTGCACGGCTTGTCAGGCGAGATCTTCAATCCCTCGCAAGAAGCCATCGATGAACAAGGAGCTTTCGCCCAAGTCCAAGCTCGTCGCACTCAAGCAGCAAAAGCTTTCATTTCTGCAGATTCTGATGCTAAGCTGCGTCGTGCTTTCACTCAGAAGTTTTCAGAGATGGACGAGGACTTGTCAATTGGGCAGCGTGTGTGGTACTGGAGGAAGAGTTTGAGAAGGCTGCATAAGACTGGATGGAAAGGGCCGGCTCGCATTGTCGCCATAGAGGAGCAGCCGAACGTCAATGTCTACTGGCTTTGTCATGGCACTTCATTGATTCGTTGTGGCCAACGACAAGTACGACCTATGGTTGAAGACACTGGAATGCTAGTGCCAGCAGACAGAGATGCAGCTCTTCGTGACCTTGCTGATCTCAAAGCTCGAAGCACCACTCAGTTCAAGGATGAGTTAAAGAAAAGTGGCCATGTTGGTGAAGCTGATGAGCTGGATGGTGATGACGTTGACATTGATGCTGACTACCCTCGAGAAGACATCGACACTGGCGAGTACACTCCCTCAGTTGCAGCCAGTGAACCTCGCGATGGTCCAATGGAGGAGGAACAAGAGGGTGCACCATCGTCAGCAATTCCTGGTGTTGTTCAGTTCTTCCTGCCCCAGCTCGGAGAAAGAGAAAGAACACCAAGAAGAAGAGAGTCAACCACCACGGCAGCTCCTTCTGAACTCCCTGAACTACCAGAGCCTGTCAGTCCAAAGAGAAAGTTGGAAGAGCATCCAATTCCAGAAGAGCCACCAGAGAAAGCAGCTCGTGCCACATCTTCGGAAGCACCAGCACCTATGGCATCCATTCCTGAGAGCATGGTGACCGACTTGACAGGTGAGTCAGTTCCTGTTCCAGATGATGATGATTTGATCATTGATGAAGTTTTCCTGACTCAACTACCAGGTGATGCACCAGTTGGTTGGCGCATTGTTGACGGTCACATTGAGATGGATGATGTCATGATGGCTGCGATCAGAAAAGGTGAAGTCAATGAACGAAAGCTGAAGCCTGAAGATCGTGCCAAGTTTGTGGACGGCAAGCGCCGAGAACTTGACCAATACTTCAGCAACTCAGTGTGGCAGTTCGCACTCACTGGAGAGATCGAAGATGCCATCAAGAACAAAAGGGTGATCACCGCCCGATGGGTGTTGACCTGGAAGAAGGTGGAGGAAGAGAATGGAGTGGTTCGATGGAAGGCCAAAGCCAGACTGGTGCTGAGGGGTTTTCAAGACCCTGACATCCTCAGCATGAAGACGGCAGCACCGACAGCTGGCAGGACGGCTCGATGTTTTCTGCTCACCGTAGCTGTTTGGATGGACTGGCAAGTCTATTGTGCAGATGTGCAAGCAGCTTTCTTGAGTGGGAAGGGCTTTGATCGAGTTCTCATCGTTCGTCTTCCCATGGATTGCTTGCCCCTTGTTGACGGTGCCCAGAAGCATGTCTACAACAAGCATCTCTACATGAGGATGCGCAAAAGTGCATATGGTCTTTGTGATGCCCCTTTGCTTTGGTATGAGGAGGCGGCTTCAAGATTGACCAAGAGGAGGTGGCGAAAGCACCCTTTGGATCAGTGCTGCTTCATGCTGACAGCATCCAAGAGCAGCAGACTCATTGGCCTCCTCATCATGCACGTAGACGACATGCTGCTGACCGGCAGTCTTGATGATCCAGAGTTCAGTGAAGCCGTGAAACACCTGCGAAAGGACTTCAACTTCGGCAAATGGGATGAGTTGACACCGAAGCAGCCGCTGAAGTATTGTGGTGGAGTGATTTTGAAGACAAACAGTGGCATTGAGGTAAGCTATGAAGAATACCTCAAGAAGATTTGTCCCATGAACATTGCCCGTGGTCGCAAAGATGATGATGCAATCCTCCCTTCAGAGTTCAGCTCAGCACGTGGGCTGATTGGTGCTTTGCAGTGGCCAGCCACTCAGGGAGTTCCTTTTCTTTGCGCCTCTATGTCCATTCAAGCAGGTGAGGTTCCCAAGGGCAAAGTCTTTCATCTTCGAGAGCTCAACAAGAGCCTGAGGTTCGCTAAGGCCAATGCAGCTGTGACCCTCAAGTTTTTGGCAAGGCCTGATGCAAGGAACAAGAAGACCGACAACTCGCTGGAGAATCTGTGCCTGGTTTGCTATGCAGATGCAGCTTTTGGTGTGCGCAGTGATCACTCGTCGCAAGGTGGCTTCGTCATCGTGGCTTGTGATAAGAGCGTGCTGAAAGGTCATAAACGACCTGCTGCAACTGTTTCCTGGCGCTCGTTCAAAGTTCCTCGAGTATGCCGCAGTTCACTTGCTGCTGAATGCCAATCGTGTGCAACGGCCTTGGAAGAGTTGTTGATGTGCAAAACGTTTTTGGAGATCCTCAAAAGGCCAGACTGCACACTTCAGAAGCTGAAGGACGACTTGCAGGGTGATTCTGCAATGGTGACAGATTGCAAGGCTTTGTACGACAGTGTGCACCGAGAGACAGTGCAGTCTGCAACAGACAAAAGGGTGGCGATCGAGAGTTTGGTCATCAAAGACCTCCTTCGAGACATGAGCTGCCAGTGGCGATGGGTTTCTTCGGAACGCCAGCTTTCAGACGGTCTGACAAAGACCGGAGCACGACAGAATTTTGTCGAGCGCTACAAGGGCAGCTACATTCAGTTGATTGCTGATGAGAACTTCACAGCCTCGAAGAAGAAGACAAAAGAAGAACGTGCCAAGACAGTGGCAGAGACTCGGATCGCCAAGTCGGACATCGCCAAGACCTTGGTTGCGATGGTCATGGCAAGTGAAGCTGGAGTTGTTGAGGCAGCCCCTCTAGATGACGGGCATTTCAATGGCTTTGATTTCATGTTTGTGGCCGGCTTCATCGGCATTGTTTTCTTGGTGTGGACTTGCTGCAGCCTCCTGTTTAGCTGCAGTGGAAAGTCAGAGCTGGAACTAAAGGTGCGAAAGCAGGAGACAGAGATCTTCGAGCTCAAGAATGACAAGGTGCAGATTGAAGTGCAGCTGAAAGGAATGACTGAAGCTGTGGAACTTTTGAAGAAAGAACGTGAGCGCCTGACCCTTGAGCTGATGCAAGCCAATGATGCTGTCCGCATTTGCAAGACGACTTCGAGCAGTCGACATGAGGGTCCCATCTACCTGACCCCTACTGGTGAATGCTGGCATCGGATCAAGACCTGCGGTGGCACCGGTTCTTTTTGCCGTCGACCTTGTGCCCGCTGCGTGACACGCGGTAGTGATGGTTCCGCATGAAGACCTCCTTCGATGTCAGTTTTCTGCGAGAAACCTTGGTCGTCCGGCATGTGCTTTGATGTTTGAATCCGTTTCCTTTGCGTCCTCAAGAGAGGTGGGACGCGCGCGATCGACCTTGAGCTTTGATGGCATACGCCATGGTTGGAAAAAAGGCAGCATTGAGCTTGCTGCGAGAGATCAGGGACTTCGTTTGCCGCTGATTGTTCGTTGGAGACAAAAACACCGTAATTGCATGCAAGTACTTGCAGAGTTGCTTTAGGTATGCCCAGTGAGTGTTGGGGGTTTATTGTCCATCCAACATTGACCACTGAGATCCACTGAGCTAAAAAAACGCCCTTGCTTTGGAAACGCTGGTTCCAGGGGAGACATTGGGGAGAAGGTGGGAGATGGTTCCTTCATCGCTGCTTGCTTTGCAGGATGAAGCAGCTTCTTCCAACCAGGGCGCCCTGGCGGAACCTCTTTAGGCATTCCTGTGGCGTTTGGTTGATTCGAGACGTTCGCCTTGCGATAAACGCTTGGCAGTTTAGAACATATTCTATATGGACATATGGACAACGGAGTGATGCTATAGAATCGATAGAATGGGCAGGCAGCAGGCGGCGAAGACGAGAGACAAGAAATGACGATATGGGCATGCTTATTGTATGATTGCACTGCTGATGCGCTTGCTGTGGCTGTTTATTGTTGATGAGGTTGTTCTTGATGATGCTGGTGGCGAGTCCTGAGTTTGTTTGGGCTTCCGGAAGATGTGGTGTTGGACATGATGCTGATTCACAACATTCTCATGAATTGAGACATATAATCTGCCGATACGCAACCCTTTCCATTTGCCACTTCAAAGGAAGCTCGTGTAGTATTTCTGAGATGGTGCAGGGTGTTATCCATCAACAACATCAGGCAGTGAATCTCTTTTTGGCAGAGTTTGTTTTTTGGCTATATATGCTATATACGTCATTCATTTTCATTATACTTCAATCTAAACAAGGAAGACAACCACCTGCTGCTGCTTTTGGTACCACTGCTGCTACCACGGTACAGATGGACAAAGCTGAAGACAAGTCGTACAGCAGCGAAGGTTAACGGGCACAAAACCGACGTCGGTGCTAAGGAGTTGATACAAAATGGCAACATGAACCTGTTTTTGTGATGGTATGTGTTAAAAGACTTTCGTGAACCAAACATAGGGTCCATAATGTCAACCAGCGGTCCCTGTTTGGTCGCTTGGAAGCGTGTCCGGAAATCGTCTTCAAAAGCCATGCCTCCAAACCAACGGTCCGTCCAACGCCGTGTTTCTCACGTTGCGCCCTCCGGAAAACGCCTCCACCTCCTTGGAGTTCGGAACGGTGGGAGTTCGGAACGTCGAACTCTGGAGAACTCGGCACCAGCGCGTTCGGAGTTGACACGTGGTTTATCTGAGACATGGCAAACATCACAGCCAACATTGGTTGTTGGGAGATTTTGGAGGATGGAAAGGTAGATGTGCATAGATGAAGCAAAGATGTGCTGTGTGCGTCCTGATCTTCTAGAAGTTGCAAATCCCTCCTCAAGTTCCAGCGATCCGCTGTACTTGTGGGGATGCACCCAAACACACTAACACATCCTTTTTTGGGGTTCTCTGACATGCTGGTCAAGCTCTTCATTGCCATGTCGTTGCCAAGAAGACCTACAAATGCCAGTCAAATGCCTACCAGCACCACACAAAGGGTGGATAGACCCCTCTGGCCTCTGGCTATGTATTTTCCATCAAGTAACCATCCTGGTCTTTGGTGTGCTGGTACATCTATAGTATGACTATTGTGATCAATCACGATTTTTCGCCCCAAAACAGGTCCAACATCTCCAAACGCGAAACTCAATCTTGCTCAGATTCGGGTCTTTCCAGCTCCAAGGCCCCCAGCCCTGCCAGCGCCAGCCGACCCACCGTCCCGGGACGCATACGCACCTTGGCACCGGGCACCGCACGTCGCGCGATCGCTGGGACGGTGGGGCGGTGGGACCTCGCCACGAAGACGACTGGGCAGCAGTAGATGAACGCTCATCGGACTCGGACTGGTGGACCGATGGAGGAAGGACCGCGGAGAGAGATGTTGTTGGGTGTGGATGAGAGTTTTTTCTTTTTGCGCCAAGCATTTGGTGATGATGCAGGTGGTTGCGTAAGGCAAGGAAGAGTTGATGGATTGTCATGCATTGGTTCTTCCAAAAACTGATCCAAGGCAAGGTCCAGGGTGTGGTGTTTGGGCCCGGGTGTCAGAAAAGGAATATGTAGCCTCCAAAGACCCCCTGTAAAAAGGAACACTCATTGAGTCTCATTGAGTCGGGGTCTCCATGTTTAAAGTACATCCAGATCCTTTGTAGGCCACGGGATTGGTAGAATAATCACTTACATTCAGCGAAAGATTACAGTAGACATTCAGTGCATGCCTTATATTAGATTGACCATGACTTTATACATTGACCATTCATTTAAAAAGAAACTTGACCTTTGCTTTTGACAATGACTTCCACTCAGTACTGTTTGTGATTTTTGAGCTGTGTGCTTGAAACACATCCTTCGACAATGCAACCGCCTCTCTAGTTCTTCGATTACCCACATACAGGATTCCTACCAGGTGAAAGTGAATGACCCTCAGGGGATGAGTTGGCTCATCAGTTCATCACCAGGGTTGTGGATATTGTGAGCTTTCCCCACCCTTGCTTCAAAGCAACGGCACATCATCTCTAAAGAGTTAAATAGCAGACCCAACGGCCATGCGAACGGTATCAACGGTATCCTGCTGGAAGCAGGAGAAGTAGCTAGTAATGTGTATGATGTGTATGTTCACAAACTTATATAGCCCAATTGCAGCACACTGCCCTGTGTGTAGCTGGCAATGGACATCATACGAGGTGTGTACCTGACATAAGGGGTGGATATACCACTTGGGCGGCCAGCACTTCCAAGGAGATTTTGGTGGAGATCGCTTCGGTGTCGTCTTGGGCGGGCAGAAGGCAGGGCTGGATCAGCGGCTGCAGAAAGAAATGGTTTCAGGCATGTTTGTCGGTTGATGCAAGAGCAGTTGCAAGACATGCACATGCAGGAACCGATTGAGGAATACGGATTACGTGCTTAGCTAGCTCCAAGGCAAGTTTGTCCCCGCTCCACCGGGTTGTCCAACGGGCTTTGTGTGATGCATTCCAACAGCAGCTACTGCAAGAAGGTATCACTCGATGTTGTTGCTTGAATGGGCCTATTTAGTTTGCCAGGGTTGCTGACATGTAAAGGCTGTGGCACACACGGCCCATGCAACGGCTCTGTTACTGTTGGATTACATGTTGTGAAACAATTGCATATCAAATATGCATGGTTGAGCTCGCAACTTTAAGAAACAAATACTTAACATATGAAATATAAAGAATCTGTGGTACAGTTCAAAAAGGCAAGACCGTGTGTACCACCGTTTCTTCATCGCACGTCTCTCCATGATTTCGACAAATCACGACCCGATTTCAATGCGTTCATGTTGGCCAGGATTAACAACCTTTTCAACAAGAGGAGGCAGCCTGCTGAGGTGGACTGGATGCCTGCGTCGCTGTGCATCACTCACTCCTCGCCACTCACTGTCCTGCGACCCAACGCTCCCAACAGTGTTTGACCCGGGAAAAGCAGATGTTCCTGGTCACCTAGCTCATGTATATACATTTGATAGCGGCCCATAACAAGAATTGGTTTTGTGGGGATAGCTCGAAATCAAACAATTTGGGTCAGAATCGTTAGATCCTTGTCGTTGACATTATTGGCGGTTCAATCCACGGAATTTGGAGGCCGCCACATCCCCTGCGGCAACATCCACATGTCAATCTCCGATTTTCCAAGTCAGTGGGTCAACTCAACACCTTTGTTGCTGTTCATGGGTCCTTCTGACACATGTCGAAAATTCATGACGTACATCACTCGTGGATGTACTCAGATTGCCACTGAAAAGTAGGAACACGGCGTTTTGAGAGCGCTTGCTGCAGGTGCGATTCTCTGAGACTATGTACAGCTCAGCCATCCCACCTGAAAAGACTAACATGTCCAACACCCGCCCATTCTGTGCTGCCCTCAAGCTGCTAGCCCCAGGGATCCACACACCCTCTGAGAAGGTGATTGGAGACACTGTTATGTAGGTTTGGAGGTCCAGTCGTACATTCTGCGGTTCGGCGCTTCAATCCTAGGGTAGGATGTCCGTCACTGCCATCCGGGTAGAAAACATGCACCACTCTTCAGCTAGAACGCGTGGCTGGACTACACTAGAGATCTCCAGCGACACCCATTGGATGCTGGAGGTACATGTGTACTACATTACAGTAGTTTCAGAGTATATAGATGGATGTATGTAGATGGCACTGGCACCCCAAGAGGTCTTTTATATCGGAGTCCATATAAACCACCTTTTGAACACTATGCCATCTAATTCCTCTGAAACCACGTGGCATCATGGCGCCATGCACCGTGGCTTTGATTGGCGCAAGAATGGGCCGGTCCCGGTGTTTGGAGCTCCGCTGCAGTGGCCCCAGTGCCATTCTGAAATCCACGTGTGGTTGTGGATCCCCTTGAATAGGGGGGGCATCCGATTCAAGGGTTTGTGCTGGGTATGAATTGAATCTAGAATCTATCTTAGTCCTGGCCCTGGCAACCATGGTCTTTTGTGACAAACATGTGACCGATCGTCTACTCATCCAGATGTGCATGTTCAACCGTCAGTTGAGCCAACTGCCCATCCCAGACTAGGAGGACAAGGAGAATTCATCCCCATCCCAGACACTCCAAGGGTCTGTAATAATAATTGACCCCTGAAACCACTCCAATCTAGATCAATATTCCAGCTTCTTCAAAGTGACCTTTTGAAGGTTCCTAAGTGACCCTTACGAGGCTTAAGTGACCTCAAACCAGGTTATCAAAAGGTCACTTTGAAGAACCAGGTTAATAATATGACATATATATACAGTAACTATAACCGTATATATATATATACACTACATGGAGTGTTTTAGGCATGGGATGTTGGAATGCTCTTCTTTGAAGGGCACCAACGAATGTCCTTTGGACCCATCGTGCCAGGTGTACATCCACTTCCCGAAGACCTCAGAAGGTACGACTGGACTTAAAACCATTTAAAGCCCATCCCAAGGGCTAGTAGGTTGGAGGCCATCGCTATTAGTAACTCAAAAGACCTTCTCAGCACCTCCGATGGGAGCCCTCTTGGGGAATGTCATTTGTCCACCGAAAAAGAACCGAGCACGACGTCGGTGTCAGGACGGGTCCACCACGCGCGGCGGACCAATCATGTGGATCGAAGGAATTTTAGCGAACACGTCGTGGCTTTAAACAGCGGAGGCTTTGTGTTATTGTTACTCGTAGCTTCTTGTTAGGTAATGCACTTGTTACTAATACAGCTAATACAGCATCTAATAGCGACGCACTTGTTACTACAGGCGAGACTTTGTGTCATTGTTGTCCAAGTTGGTATCCAAGGATCCAAGTCAAGACGTGTCTCTTTTGCACGACTCGTTTTGTGTTTCCTGGTGCGAGGGGTAGCTGGCTAAGCCAACCAGGTCATCTTTGTTTCCGTCGACCAGCAGTCCGCGAGAGGAGGATACTCCATTGACCAGAGTTCCTTGGAGGTTCATCCCAGAATGCCTTAGGCCCTACAGGCATAGTCTGAGGCAGCTGAAGCCGGCCAAGGAAGGCACGTTGGCTCCTGTGCACGTTGGCTCGAAAAAATTTGAGAGAGAGATTTCTTCAACTGTTCCCCAACTTCAATCAATCAATAGGCTGAGCGTTCTTTCAAGACCTCCAAGGGGACCAAAATGTCTTCAAGTTGCGTCTTGATCACCCGTCCGCCCTGGTGTCTTAGGTTGGCCGGTGTCGGAGAGGTCAATGGCAACCCTAAGACCCACCCTTTGGATTGCAAAGTAGAGACAAGCAAGAGTGACCATCTCAACAGCAACATGGTGGAAGATGTGGAAGTGGTCTGTAACAGTTCAAACATTGGCAGCATTGTCTTTGTGTTACTTTCATGGTGTTTTCTCTACAAAGCAACAGGCGACGCGTGGGCTTTTAGGTACGTTAAACAACTATAATATGTACAAGGACCCTGGACCTAATATGTTAAATGTGGATGTGGCATTTGTGCTTTTGGCTTTTCGATCTTCACGCATTCTATATCTTTTGCAGTATGACGTGGATGTGCAAGAGACCTCGGCTGGGCAGCTACCAATTGCACCATGAAGTAGCTAGCTTGGCTAAGTGATGGCAGGAGCGTGGCAGAATTTGGCTGTGTAACATATCAACATATAAGCATTTAGGATGGTGATTTGTCCAGATGATTATTTAGATCTATATATGCAGTCGCGCATATTTGAGTGTGTCAATGATGGGCATTCACACGAAGGCTTAGTTGCTTTGTGTCCCTTTCATTCGGCCGGTCGACACCCGTTTTTGTGGTTTCAGAATTCAACATAAAAGGGAGTTTGGTTGTGTTGCACGTTTCTATCCCCTCAATTTCATTCAATTTCTACCACCTTTCAGCGCAGACACCAATGGGACTGGCATACCGATCATTTGAGGTGGTTGAAAAAGTAACGTCGGAATCTATGCCAGTCCCCTGGAGTGTTTGGGTTTGGAGCTGCTTTGCTTGGATTTTACTGGGTTTGTCCGCCCATGCCTCCGTGTCAGCCACTGAGTCAGGAGGATTTCGCCCGGCCGGCGGCCCCACCGGTGGAATCACACCGGACTCTGGTCCTCCGTCCGTCCTGCTTGCACTTCCTGCGTGCCAGTGGAAGAAAAGAGCACGTCCACTGACATCATTTTAGTTTCAACTGAGTTGAAACCACCAACCAGAAAATGGCTTCGAGGGTTTCGGGGCCAGCTTGTCATCTTGCTAACCCTGTCGACATGTGCCACATGGTCAAATTCGGGAGACTTGGTGCTCTTTTTTGGGGTGCCGCGACGTCGAAAAGCTCGGCTCAACCTGCGGAACACGCAGCCGATGCAGGTGGCGGCCGGATCGCTCCAGGCGGATGGATCTTCGTGTTGGCGGCTGCTCCAGCTTGGTGCTACAGACTCAGTGGATCAGAGGCCCAGTTGCCCCAACCATTTCGTGGGCATTGGTTTCCTTGGTTTCCACACTAAGCCGAGCAGCAGGTGCAGATCCAATTGACCGATCCTTTCGTTGCCAGGGATCTAAGCCAAGCAGCAGGTGAATCAGATTTACATAGATTTACCGATCCCCTTGTTGCCGATGGAGTCAACCGGGTGTCTCCGGTGAGAGATTCTCCAACTTGAGGGGGGGAGTGGTTTTTTTCGGCACCCGAATCACCCGAACTGGCTTTTTTGGGGTGGAACGGTTGGGGATGGGGTTGGGTGTCTGCCGAACTGGTCCATGGTCTGTTGCCGAACTGATGCCGAAGTCAAAGTGACACACTTCCACCCGTTGGTCCCCGTTTGTGCCACCTTTCAACCGTGCTGTGACACATTGCCTTTCACCTCAGACTTGTTGTATGCCTCACCCACTGTAGTGCTTTCGACCTTGGAATTTCAACCTGGCAGTTGGCAGCTTGAAACGGTTCTTTCTTTTTGAAGCAAGGGTTCAACATGGTGGGGTCCGACCAGTGCGTTTCAATGGCTTTGGTGAGAGAGTGCGGAGAGAGTGGCGTTGCGGTTGCAGCCGTTTTGGGATCAACCGCCAACACTCTGCTCCAATTGGTTTGCCAGGCGAGTGGACTGTCGGGGGAAGTTCTTGGGACAGACTCGACAGAGTCTGGAGACCTCAGGAGTCGCTCTTGCCTTAAGCAGAAACAGCTGGGTTTCCTTATAAGCTTCCTGTTTTTTGGGGGCAGAAGCTTATTGAGCTTCGAAGAAGGAGGAGTTGATCTGAGATGCAGGAGGGCAAGACAGCCTTGCCATTCAAGCAAAAACTTTAGATGATGAGTGACTGAGAGATCGGAGTTTATTAGACCTGGCTTTGTTACCAAAGATCAGTAAGCAAGTATTAGTGAGGATCCAGAAGTGCTGTTGTTGTTTCATGTGTCAAGAGGTAGATGGGTATGGATGGGCACCGTTTGCTCCCGGAATTTGGGGGGGCCTCTTGACCTTTTGCCAACCAAAAACCGAGCTAGGGCTCCAAGTACCTTTTGCGAAGGTGTCGGGAAGGGTTTAGAGGGTCCGAATACCCTCTGAGGAGGTACTTGGAGCCCTAGAGCGAGCATGCTCGCAACAAAAACCTGATGCAGTTATGCTACCGGGTAGTCCTCAACTTGATATGTTGCCTATTTGGGCACCGTCCTTCCTTGGTGTCCGGTTCAAGCCCACGGCCGGTCCAAACGTGTGGACTGAAGAACCTGCATAATCCGGTCCACCTATTAAAAATCACACGGCCCCCCCCCTAATAAGGAAACCTCGGTCGCTTTTTCTTTTAATAGGACAGCAAAAGACACCCACGTGGCCGCCACACAGGGGACCCGCTTGGACCAACGCCCGAAGACAAACCACCCGCCATTTTCCAGCCCTGGCGCCCGACCACGACCCACGCAGGGCTCACGACTCGCCTGTGGCAGCGATGGATCTGACGCCGAGCACTTCGTTGGGCCATCTGTTGGACGACAAGCTGGCTGAGCCGCTCGGTCCAGCTTCTGTCAATTTTTGGGACCGGAGACGGGGAGAGGGTCCCCCAGGGTCCGCTGAAAAAAAAAGACTATGTATATTGGCTGTTGTGATTTTGGGACCTGATGGTGTATCCATGTCTCTGCCCTGCATCTCCCATGTTTCACCCCCCACTGAACTGCCACAGAAACCACTGTGATCCACTGTGCACCTCACCTTGCCATCTTTTTTCATTCCTTGCCGAGGCTGCTCCAACGCTTAGAGAGCTGTGAGGCACAACTTCGCCGCAGTGAGACTGCCCTGGGCGCCAAGGGGGAGGAACTCGACAAGCTCAAGGAGCTGCTCACAGGCGCGGTGCCCGGCGCGGTGGTGACGAAGCCCGAAGCGCGTGATGGAACTTGTTGGGAGAAGTGGGTGAAGAGAGGAAATGGATGCAAAGGATTTGGGCTTGAACGAGGTTCTTTGAAGGAGTTTGGGTTCCTTATTTCTGAGTGGACGTTCGATATTAAATTGGGTTTTCACATTGTGTATTCTGTACAGTTGACTTTTGTTGTGGCTCAAGAACTAGTCCCAAAACCTTCTTGGACGAGTCGACCCTCTTAGACTCTAAGACTCATACACTACGTCTCTCCTTCCCTTTTCCAACCTAAGACAAACCAGGATGCTCAATTCTACACTCCCTGAAATCTGCTTCTAGAGGAATATGGTCATTGCTTTTCCCTTCAGCAGTTAAGTTCTTGTGGAAGACCTGTTTTGTTCCTAGGCAAGATCAGCGAGCTACAAGCGCAGATCGAAGATTTGGCTCAGGCGTCGCTGGCACGTGCTCCGTTTTTTTTTCAATGTGTTCATGTTTTGAACAACTGTTTGGACAAAAGACATGGTCCCAACAAGGGGATGCGTGTGAACTACAGGTGGAGAAACTCTTGAACTACTGACTGGTGGATTCAAGCCATTTGGAACGCCAAGCGCGTTTCTTGAATAAAACGCAAGGGCTGGACACTGGAGAAAAATGTGGGTGACCTGGGAAACCGGGGTAAGATCTAGACCTGAAGTTAGTTTGTTTTGACCTGAAGTTAGTTTGTTTTGACCATGCAGGAATTTCAGAAAAAACGCCAGATGCAATGTGCTTAAGAAATGCCGACCTGCTTATCCTGACTTTTTCCTAGATCTTCTTTCCAGAGTGGACAAATTTGACGATTTGCGGTGGCAACACTTCTCTTGGGACCGGTTCGTTTGGCATTGCACTTTGTGACATTCATGTTGCACTGAGGAGTTTTTCTTGGTGGAAGGTCAGGTCAGGAGTTTGAGTTAAATCTTTACAAGATGTGTTTATCTACCACTATCATCATCCACTGCTTGAGCTAGCTGTGGTGTTGTTCACCCAGAGAATTCGAAGGACCACGTCGTGCCAATTGTCCTGTTGCCTTCCGGGCTGTTTTTTCACGTCACAAGGTCCACAAGAGGCTTCAGGCTCGAATGGTGCAAAGCCCATGGTGAGTCTTGCGGTGCATTTTTTCCCCAGACACGACCTGGTTATTTGGGAGTGGCATATTCAACTTTGAGGTTTGAGGTGGCCTGGTTGTTCCTGGTGGTTGCAGGGGTTGATGAGGTTACCGGGGTCGATGAATGCGGTTTCGTCCGTTGCTTCTTTCCTCCGAAGAACCGGGCGGAGCGCCCGGTTCTTCGTTTTGGGTGGCAGGCACTGCGGCGGAAGGCGCCAGTGGGTGACTACTGCCCTCATCTGTGGCTTTTGGGCTTTTGGCTTTCTACATGTTGTTTGTAGAGAGAGTGTATGACATGTGCACAACCATTGAGTCCTTTCGGATGAGAACATCATGGAACCTTCAACTTCTTGAAGCTGACATGAGGAGTTGGGAGAGCTCGGACCTCCACCGCTGTCTTCTCTCAGAGGTACGACTCCACCAAGATGCCCCCATGGACCCCGAATCCACCCCTGGCCCCAAGTACCTTTAGAACATGGGACATGACCCAACCAACAGGTGACGTCATTTTCCGAGGTACATCCGCCTCGACGTCCAGGTGTTTCTGGACTCGTCCCGGTGAAAAGGTCGCTGGTTCCGACGCTTTTCATGTCGTCCCGGTCTTCGGCGAAGACATTGAAGGCATTGGAAAGTAGAGAGCATGGTGGTCACAATGGCAAAGCAGGGGAGCAAAGTGGGACCTTTGCTGTACAAAGTCTTCTAATTTGCATTGTTACACCTGGCATTTGTACAGCAGAGGATTTGCATTGTAGGACTCTACTGCCTGCTTGTACCGGCCTCATTGCACATCGCCCGGTGCAGCCTCGTCAGGCAGACTTGTCCGACACGGCCACCCTCTTTCAGCTGGAGGCTGGGTGGTCGATTCAAGTAAAATTATGTGCCTTGATATAAGAGCTGGAATCTGTCAAACACCAATCATGGGCACATCAACACAGGTTAAAGAACCCTAGTTCGACTATCCCATAGGTGCCCCAGGTTACGGGTGCTTAGATGCCACTTAACCTTTGTTGGCATGTCCATTTGTGACCTGTCTGCTTACAGATCTATCCAGGCTCATCCTTGGTTCGTAGACCCCTCTTGGCTCGTCTTGGACGGTTCCGCAGCGTTGGACCAAGCCCCGAAGCAACGCTGTGGTGAGCCCTGAACATCTAGCAGCTAGACGAGCTGGGGTCCTGTCCAGCTGTCGAGCTCGGTCCTTGGGGAATGGGCTAAGCGCCTCAGTCCCTTGAAAAGGGTAGTAGCGCCATTCCACTTAGTTAGGATGGACATCACCGATAAATCAATGAAGACCCTGGTATACCCTGGGACGCAGTCTCCCGGAAGACGAAAATGAAAACTACTTGGTGTCTTCACAATTTTGATTCCACTTCTAGTGGTGCCCACATGGAGACATGCTGATGTCCAAACTAAGTACAGCGATGCAAATGGTATATATGCAATTGTATGCATACATAATACACAATCGTACATATATATCCTATACCATCATTGTACACCCATAATAGTTCTACCCAGATGCTCCAAACAACCCTTGGTCCCTCAAAACCACTCAAAACCACAGGGATTGGTGAGAAGGTCCGGACCAGACCCAAGGATTCGGGTCCAGGGTTGTGTCTGGGTGACATTTGAGTCCCTCCATCTTCCTGCTGGGGTCGTCTCAGGCAGTGAAGAAGATCTTGGAGCTCAAGGCCAACCGCAATGAAGTGCCCCAGAAGGACCGGCTCCGAAAGAAGGAACATCAAACCGCAACGTGCGGGGGTGGGTGAATGGGTGGGTGGGTGGGGATATTGTTTGTGTTTTCAGTTGTGCGAGCTTTTGAGGGGGTAGATGACTAGATGAAGACTGATCAAGACCGTTCTGTTTTTTTTCTGCGATGACATGTTCTTACGCGGGAACCTGGCATGAAAGTTGATTTGTGTGGTGGGTGGCGGAGAGTGGATCGATAAGATTCGTGTGAACAACTCATTGACTCGGTGGTGGGTTCAGACATTGTGATGCTCAAACTTGAGGGACGATTGAACCCACTGACTGATATGTGTTCTTTCGTGCGCTGAAACTTGAAGCCACCAACTGAATACCCTGGGAGTCAAAGATGGTCTTCAGGTGACCCGCAAAAGAATTTTCTTTACTTCAGTCTGTCAAAATACAGTCTTTGAACTTCTAGGGTTGATATATCATATACCCAGACTATACCTTTCGAACTCTGGACCCATGCCCACTTTTTCCCTTACATCCGAGAAGGGTGAACCGCACGCACTGAAAGAGAAGCCGCTGACCGTCGGTTCCCACCCGGACCCGAACCGGTCGTCCATCGTCCATCCGAGTGAGGAGACCGTGGTTGAGTTGCAGGAGAGCACTTTGAGCAACAGCAAGAGCTTGGAGGAAGTACAGACGTGCCTTGGCGAGGTGACGGGATCTGGAGAAGTGCTATAAAGATAGAGCTTATGTGTTTTAAATATGTTTAAATCTTTTTTGATCCATTTTGGAGGAGGAGCCAAAAAGATGTGTGTTCAATGGTTGGTTTGGTTTTACAAAAAGGTTGATGAGTCGTACTATATAAAGCGGGTGCTCAAGGGCGGATCGATGAAAGGACACTTCTATTTGCGGTGAACCTGCGCTTCACCGGGTGTTTACCTTTTTGGGGTTTTGTTCTGGACTCTTTTCTAGATTGGTCGCAGAGCCGGTCACCCCGGCTGGAGGCCAGATCCATTTGACGCTTCACCGAGTTCAGAAACGACTGTTCCAGCCACCACGCCTTTCGGGTTGACATGCTGTTCTCATGCGGATGGGGAACCATTCTGTTCTCATTCACGCGTCCGCGGTGCAGCTGGCGGGAACCGCCCGATTCCTCGGCGCGAAGGGTTCCATGAAGGACGGCGCTCAGGTTCTCGAGCTCGGGGCGCTCGATGCAGGTCAGGTGATGCCAGATCAGATCAGGTCCTACCAGGTCAGCTCGATTCTGATTGTGTTTAGGATCTTCGCAAAGAGGAATCTTTTCAGGAGGAGGCTGAATCGATCGCTGGGAGCCTCCAACGAAGGGCCACACAAGCATGCATTGCAGAATGCGTCCTCCTTTCTTACTCCTGAAGGAGAAGAAATTCTTCGTGCTTTTCAACATGTCTCGGACGAGCTCTGTGCTCGGCCGAGATCACCGTCTTTATGCTAAATTCACGTCTTGTCGGGAGATGAGATTGGCATCCTCGTCTCAATTCTCAATGCAGTATACGGTATACGGCTGTTGTGACATCGACCGTTCCGTGCTGCATCTTGGGTTGTATGCATCGAGGCTTCGGATCTCAATCTCATAATCCCAAGCTGCCTCCAAGTTGGAGAGCCGAACTTGAGGCGAATTCCCAATTCGTTCACTCGTTCACAGCCCTCCTTCTTTGGAGCATCAATTCTGTGTGGGATGGGGGGAGAAAGGGCTGCTGCTCTCTTGAGTGTTCTCGCCGGCAATGCTAGGTAGCTCCCAAGGACCCTGGCCCCTGCTGAGGAAGGCTTTACCGAAGTGTAGATGCAGCCCCTCAAGCAGAGAACACTCACTGCAGGCTACAGGATGAAGGAACTAGGTGTGAAAGAAGCTTCTCTCACTCCCTCCAATAAGTGTGACCTCACCAACCTGAAGGACTGACGAACCAGTCAACCATGACGACTTGCTTGCTGAGGTCTGCCAAGCACTGCTGAAAACACCATTTGGATCACCTCACTGAAATGGTCCGAGCATCCTGTATGATGGGTTCCGAGTGTCCAATACCTCCATCACTAGTGTTCACCCACCCAGTTCTTTGCTCGAAAGGTTCTGCCGATCCCAGGACGCTGAGCGCAGCGAAGAGTCGCTTCAGCCAGCAGATCAATGAGCTCCAGCAGTCCGTACACACCAAGGCGCTGGAGATCCGCAGATCCGTAGATCCTCCAGTTCTGGCCGCGCGCGATTGGTCTGCAGCCGATTTGCAGCCGATTTCCCACCACCGAAGCCGCTGATGTCGCTGGTGCGGCGGACATGGATCGAGAGCAATGATGGGGTGGGCCCCAGCCCCTTTTGGGGCTGCAAAGACCTCCGAAACCCGGTCTTTATGGTCTTTGGGATGGGTTTGAAGGGTCCGGGCCGTGTTTGGCACGGCTTTGTTTTGGTCCAGGTCATTCCAGGTCTTTGGGATGGTTACCGGTGACGACACAGGCTGCATTGTGGCGAAGGAGTCTCAAGGTAGAAATAGCCATAGTAAGCCTAGAAGGCACAGGTGGAGAGCATACTGTCATATTATTTTCTATATATTTGTTCGCAAATTGTCGAATAGTGATAGAACACTTTTAGTGTCATCGTTTGTGTTTGGCAACCTCCAATGTTCGATTGGATGCATCTCAGCTGATGATCAGTAGGTCGAGCTATGTAAAGGTAAACACATCATCAGGAATCAGGAACCTTTGAGATCCCTTTGACCAACCATCCAAACATATACAATCCAAACATTCCGACCCATCATCCACTAAAACCAATATAAACCAGGACTCCAACCATCCAAAGCAACCATTGTCATCCATTAGACCGGGCCCCCAAAACCCACAACATCCAACTCATGCCGAAGAAGAAGAAGAAAAGAAGAAGACAAAAAAAACAGTAAAGATAAGAAGAAAAAAAAAGAAAAATAACAAGAAACAAAATCATAAGACAATTACAAAACAATAAACAATAAAATAACAATAACTAAAAATAAAAAAAACAAAAACAAAAAAAAACAATAATGATAAAAATAAACAAAATAAGAATAACAACAAAATAATAATAAGAAAAAAACGAATAAGAAGAAAAAAAAGGACACATGATAATAAAAATTATATTTAAAAAAAAAAAAAACAAAGAATAAAAAAAAAAAAAAAAAGAAAACATAAAAAAAAAAAAAAAACGAATAAGAAAAATAACAATAAAACAAAATAATAAGAAGAAACAAAAACACATCCAAAGCAATGAAACGACTTTGCCCAAACAGTCGTACCGTGCCCCGGGCCCGGAGTCGTCTCGTCTCATCCTGCGCTGCTTGATGTCAGGCGGAGCAGTGCCTAGTGCCGAGCCTCGAGCTGTTCCAACTCCGTTTGGCGGAGAAGGTGGGAACCACCGACGGACCGAGGGAGAGGTTTGGGTCGCTGGTGCACCCGCGGAAATGTGTGAAGAAAAAGGCTAGAAAGGGTGATGAAGCAAGAGAGGGAGTTGTTTGAGATTCTCGAGGCCCTCATCAGCTGTAACCCATTGGTGGTCAGGTGCAGTTGCTAAGGTTACAAAAGGATATTATATATATAAATAGGGTGTCTTCTTGGTACCCACCAACAGCTTTGTGAAGACCCAGGATCCCGGTTTGCCCTCGATGTTGGTGGATCCAAACACCCACACTTGCGCCCCATTGTGAGATCAAAAAACACAAATTAAATATATATATATATACAAAAAACACATCCGCGGCCCAGGTTTCAAGGGTTTCTGCAGTTACACCATGTGATTTTGTTGGGGTGCTGCAGTTACAAACCGTGCTTCAACCGTTGGGTAGTCCGTTGGGTCTATCTTCGCCTCCGGGTTTCCAGCACGATATTCGCCTACGGGTCGCGGAGGCGGCCCAAACAAACAGATCCGAGACGCCGTCGCCTTCCGGGAACGACCATGAAAAGAGTCATAACCCATAGACTCCATGGGACTGCCATAGGACTGCCGATCAGGCCAGGGGTGGTGCCAGGGGGGTCAATGGGGCGGCATATATGGCAGTCCCATGGAGTGTCTGGGATAATAAGGACTTCACCTGGTTTCATAGTTCCTTAATGCAACAAGACAAACGAGAGCTGTTTGGTTTAAAAAACCTTCAATCGATGTCGATGTTGGAAGCCTAGGCTAAGTGTATGTAGGTTGCGTTCCATGACCAGGAACACTCCTATTAAAGCAATTATCATCAATTCTCATTGTTTTTTGAGGAAGGTCTGCCACTGATTGCCACTGCATCTCAGAAAATCCTCATCTGGGCCCTGGTAATTGGATATCCCCAAGGTCAGTGGTTAGCTCCTGAACGAACGGCGACGGGACGGCACCGGATTCAGGCCGACGTCACGGCCGTGCCCACCAACGAGCAACTCAAGGCGCTCCGTGCTCGGCGCGGCCGTGGCGGAGTTCGGCGCGTTCGTGACTTGGAGTGTTTTGGGAAATCCTTGGACCCTCTCGTACCAAAGTTGGAGAAGTCAGGAATCATTGTCATGTTGAGTGGTGTCGCATGGCCATGTTGGGTCCTTGAAGTCAGGTCCGTTCCACATCACTGCAGAAGACTGAACGGTTTCCTTTCAATGAAGTGATCCTGATCAGTGACCCTGCCGTATAGAACTGGAGTCTCTCTCCCACTCACATATCCATGTGGAGCAGTCACCATGGTCGCAACTTGCAGTGTTAATGTCTCGAAGATCTGATCTTCTTGCAATCTTCATAGCTAGACGAGTCTCTTTTCCTCGACAGGTGGTGATGAAGATCTTGCAGATGAAGGCGGATGCTGAACAGGTACCACGGCTTTCTGATTTCCAGGCCATTGGTGACAGTCGTGGCTTTCGGAGGGAAAAACAATGCAAACATGTGGGCGATCAGTGTTAGAATCAATCCCTTTGTTCAAGTCGAAAGGAGCAATTTTGATGTTTTGTGAGCAAACACTTGGTCCGAGTGGTGGCAGAGGTGATTGTGTTGAACACATGGTCAGAGTGGCGGGAGGGTGGAACTCTCAAAAACATGGTGAAGGGTGGGGCTCCAAAAGCCCAGTGAAGCATGCATTGCGCAGCACTGAACCAGAACATGTGGCCGGGAGACCACTGAACCAGAAAGGTCAACGGAACGCTCGGAGGAATCAGAGTGGGATGACGCACTGCCCCATACGCCCGGCCACATCACCTGCCACGCACTCGCGTACCTGACACCCAACCTGAACTGTCAGGCGCTGGGGCAGAGCGTCCTGGAGCTCGGAGGACTCAAAGCACAACTGGAAGCCTTACAAGCCTTGGTTCTGCAGAAGGCTCCCTGCTGCTCCGGAAACCCGACCAAGCCCTCAACAAACCCTAAACCGTGCGACCGTGCGACCTGCCGTGTGCGAACATTGGTCGTGTGTGTTTGGTGTTGTTGGAACCACACCGTGCTGTCCTACGAGTGGCTTTGGGGTGGAGGGGGTACCGGCGTACGTCGTCGGTCCTTTTGGTCCCATTCAGTGTCAGTGAGGTGCAATGTGACGGAGAGTGCCGGACGGTGGGGCTGAACTTGGGAGAGCAAGCAAGCAAAGTGTAGGACCCAACTTGTTTGCGGTGGCACTTTGCAGGTTGGTTTGCTTTGGGTTTGCAGGTGAAGATTGCGGCCAAGCGACAAGAGGTTTGCGTCTTGAAACCAGGGCCCCCCGAAAAGCGGGGTGGTGGATGGACAGCCCAGACACTTCTGAAAAGGGAATATTTGGGGGACACTTCTTTGGTCTTTCAGACCTTTAGTCATTTGGGTTCGGCTGTGACCCAGAACCTGCGGTGATAGTTCCGCGTCAGGAAAGCGAGCTGCAGAACCTGCAGCGAATTGTGCAGCACAAGGCGGATGTCGGTGAGGCATGGAGCCGAGTGGTTTGAGGGGCGGAGTGGCGCCGACGGCGAAAAGGAACGCAGAGGTTGACCAAAGGACTACAGGCATCGATCTGAGGCTTCATGAGTGGTTGAGTGAGTGGTTGCTGTGCGGTTCTTGCTGCTGTGGAGCTCGAAGTCGAAATCAGGAGTGGAGTGAAAGCTGCACCAATGTTTGGGAAAAGTGCCAGGCAACACAGAGCAGTACCGCGACTGTAGAGGTCTTGCCTCCACCAAGCTTAACTATCCGAGACTACCACTCCATTTGTTGTACGCACAATAGCTGCTGTTTACAATACATTACAATACTTAATATTGAGTAATTTGATGATCAGAACTGTTGTAAAACCGTACATTATATTATATGTTGTTTATTTATCGCCACCCCCTTACCTTAGGTTTTTGAGGGGGGACGTAAAAAATGTAACTCAATGTAACTTACATTTTTTTGGGGGGTCATAAATGTATGTTGGACCCCCCCCTACTTTTTCACCGCTGGCTTTCCTAGGGATTGACCAGTGGAAGTTTAAGTTCTTGGGAAGGGGGGGGGGATGTGGGCTGGCAGGGCTTCCCCAGCGAATCACCGGTGAGTGGTCAGAGTGCAGGAGAGGGGGGGAGGGGGTGGTAAAAATGTAACTTACTATGTGGGCACGTGGCAACTTACAATTTACAGGGTACCTCTGAAAAGGTAGCATATCACCTAGGCACATGGTAGCTTACATTTTACAGGGTACCCCTCAAAATGTAACGTTCCATCCGCGCGAAAGCAGAGATGACTTGCCAGACTTGTATTTGTTTCAGCCTTGTGCAATTTTGTGTAGGCATATATATATATATTGCTGTATTCTTGCATTGGAGACTCAAAAATGCAAGCTTACATGTTCTACGTCTATGGGAGAAAATGTAAGCCTACATTTTCTACGTCTATTTTCAAAAATGTAAGCCTACATTTTTGACGTATCAAACCAGGATTCCCCCCAGGAAAAACGTAACTTACATTTTTTTAGGTCCCCTCCCCCTTAACAGGTAGTGATGTTTATTTTTGTACTAAATTATATATATATGTTTATAGGTCATTTTTTGCATGTTGTGTACCATAGCCTTTGGTGAACCACCTAACAAGAAAGATGGGATCCATCCAAGCCCATCGTCATCGGGTGGCAGCTCTAGGTGGCGACCTCGTTGGAGGTTCAGCTTCTGAACGGAAAGCTGGAAGGCAAGGCTGAAGCGAAGGACTGGCCTCGACTCGCTAAACTATAAGGGGATCCGGACACGTGTTTCAGGAAGTATATGTGGCATCGACATGATCCAGAAACAAATGCAAACGACTTCACCATTTCAATACCCCATGAATCTTCAACCCCTCTAGTTAAGGTTTGTGCTACTTGAAAGAGTTGTATGTCTTGTGGTTCCAAGGCACTGAGCTCATTCCAAGGACACCCCGACCTCGCCAGGACACCCCGACCTTGTTGCAATTCCAAGCCTTGTCCAAGACCATGGAGAACAAGGCACCGCACAAAAGCTGTTTTTGCGCACCGCAGGAACCGGGTCCAAACCTTGGGTTCTTCGAGTCAGTGAAGAACCGGGGAAAGTGGGCACAACGCGAATTCCCCACACCTCCTGGCCTACCTCCGTTTCGTCTGGTGGGGTGGGTTCCGGGGGTCTGTGTTTACCGAACCTGAGGATATGGGACAGGAGCCCTATAAGCACTTTAGACACTCCACTTGCAAGTGTACATCCTCTTTTTTTTGTATTAATCAGGAGTCTACTCAGTAGTAGTTTTGGTCATTCTGCAATCACGGGAGCACAAGAGAAGATCACAGTTGCTCTCGTTTTAGATTGAAGCTCTCGAATCTGACTGTAGGGAAGTTGGATTGCAGCCAATCTATGTGTCGGACATGGTTTCAGCCTTCAGGACCCATTTGAACCGTGATACTCATTTCTGCATCATGCAGCAGTCGCACCGTTTGTTTGCGGCATGATGTTTGGACGCATTTTCCTCCGAGGGTAGACAACCAAGAGGCAGGCTATTCAGGGACTGGCTTGGTGAGACGCTTCAAAAAGTCCAGCCAAAGAGTATGGGGTCGCCTGCCTTTGAAGAACAACAAAGAGGGTGTTTCTTCAGGATTGCTTGAATAATTCATCAATCCTGCCAATGGAGTCCTCATGTTTTTAACCAGCGATGTAAAAAACGATGGATCGCCCCTGGTGTGACTTTCAATCTCGACACACTATCCACAAGCCCAGAGCATGTCCTCCATTTGTAGGCTTTCAGTGCCCACTTCACCATACCCCACCCACCCACCTTCCACGCGTGGCCGCGTGGCCTCTCCGCTCGCTCCCAGGCGGACAGCTGGGACGTGCCCACCTTGGCAGAGTTCCGTGCGATGGATCACCTGCTGCGCCAGGGGCGCCCGGAGTTCCGAAGGTCGACCCATGCTTCTCGCAAGGCCGAAGTCGAGTCGGTGAAGCAGGAGGGTGCTGGTTGGGTGGACCAGAGTGAGGAACAAGTTGGATGGCTAAGGATTCCTTCAGAGAACTGGATGAGAAGCAGGAGGGATTGGATAGCTAAGAAGCCCCCCTTCTTCCTCCCATTTGCCTGCGAGCTTTGCGATACATAGTATGGACCCAGGGGAAGACCACAGTGAGTCATCGTGAACGAACTGCGGGAAGACCGTCCAGTTCTCCCTGCTGCTTGGACCGAGGCAAGCACGGTGACCTGGCCGGAAGCGTGGAAGAGCTGCAGAAGCTCCTGCAGCAGGTGACCTCGGCCGATCTGGCTGGGAGGGACAAATGGCTTGCGTCGATGTGGCTGGCGCATGCCGTTGGTGCTGGGGTGAAGCTTGCGGCCAAGGATGGCCCAAGTGAGCCCATCACTCACAGAGGATCAGGGGAGAAGTCCTTTTCCCAGACACGACCAGTCTGGGACTGCCATAGGACTGCCACCCCATTGACCCCCCCTGGCACCACCCTGACTGATCGGTCAATATGCCAGTCCCCTGGGATATCTACGTATATATTATATTATTATATATTACTATATATATATATACATGCTGCTCACCCCTCAAACCACTTCCAGATCTCTGATCGGCTTCGTATGCTGAGACAGCCTGTTGGGTCTGGGCATCCACTGGACTCCGTGTTGGAAACCCACCCCCCCGCGATCGATCGTGGGGCGCGCAGGTGGTGACGAAGCAGTGCTTCGAGAAGCTCATGAAGGAGGCGATCGGATAGTGGTACTGAAGGGGCTGCAACTGCTGCAACGTGGTGGTACTCTTCAGGAAGAACACCAGCAACACCTCAGATTTGCTGTGTGAAGGGCCTCACGATTTGCTGTGTGAAAGGGCAGGGGCGGCAGGGTGTCCTCGCTTACGGTGGCCCTTTGGTCGACCTTTTCATAAAGACCCAGGAGCATTTTGGGATATTTTGGGAAGCTGCCATCTCGTCATGCTGTTTGTCCCAGTGCATTGAGGAATGACACCAGATCGTTGGTCACCTTAGAGTAGTGGATTCATTCAGTGCCGTGGAGAATCACTCCACACGGGGTGCCAGACCTTAGACTCGGAGTGATTTTTGCCACCCCCCTAAGCTGCCCTCTCCTATGCCCCCTGCTGAGCTGAGCTCGGTGAACCCCCCACGTGTGGTAGTGCCGGTGACCCTCCGCGTGTGGAGGTGAGTGAGAAGGCCGATAGCAAGGATGCTGCTCTGGCGAACTTGTTGCCTCGAATCGGTTGGCCATGCCAACAGCTCGGGCGGAGGGCGTGTTTCTTCCAATTGATCTGTTTTGGTTTGTTTAGTGACCCTAGGGCTCCAGTCGTACTTCCTCAGAAGGTATGACTAGACCCTCCAAACCCATCTCAAACACCTTCTTAGAAGGTGCTTGGAGCCCTAGGGTGAAGGAGATTTGGGACATTTGGGTTTGAACTGTACGTGGCTGGTTGTGTCTACCATCCCTCTCGGTGGGTCCGGTGCCACGGTGCCACTCCTCACGTCACGTCAGCATCACTCCGAGGGCTGTGAGTGAGACTGGAGGTGGGAAGATCGAAATATGCCCTCACTGACTCACTGGGTTTCCATGTCAATGTTCAGGTCCACTGGGACTCACTGGGACTCACTGTGGTTTCCTCACTGGGACTCACTGAAGGATTCCAGTCTGGTCCATTTTCAGGTTCCATGTCAATTACTTTTTTCAGGTGTACCTTCTGAACAGGGAGGACTTGAAACCCTATGGAAAAAACTAGAAAACATGAGGTCTTGGATGGTCTTGACTGTGCCTTGAAAAGAAAGGGAGCTCAGAGGTAGTGTGGAGGGAGCGTGAATGTGCACTGCAAGCCTTTGCCTCTTTCGGCAGTCAGTTCTGTGCCTCTTTCGAACTCCAATGATCGTAGTTGTAAAACACCCATTTGCTCCTGGAAATGCTTAACGGTTGCTGATACGCCTTCTCTTCAGCGCCAGTTGCTTGATACTCCCATTCTCTTGGGGCCATCCGTGGCTGAGGTGCCTAACATGGAAGAATTCGACACACTCAAGGCACTGCATGGCGGGGTTTGGGCTATGAAAAGGGTCCTAAAGACGTTTGGCGTATGGTTCCGTTCCACCTGCTTTACTTTTTCTTGTTTTTTTGGGGGGGAGGGTCCTTATTATGGTTCTTCACACACGTTTAATGATGAATTTAAGTTAGGAAACATGGTCGACGATCTCTCCAATATTATCCAATGACCATGTTGAGCTGCTCGGAAGGTGTAAACTACCAGGAAGGTTCGCTTTCTTGACATGAATAAATGTGATCAAGGCCCCAGAATTCCACAGAGACCAGAATTCCCTGACTTGAATCAGCTGTTCAATGAACTTGTGAGTCACCCCACCACAAGTGACTTCGACGTGCGCCTCCGACCTTCTGTCTTCGAAAGTTTGATTGCGCATCGTCTCCGAACTTTTGATGACTCAAAAACAATCAACATGTCCATTCTGCTGAGTCACTCAATATTGAATACACATTTCAGGTCCTGTGGGAGTAGGTAGGAACTTGTTTCCCAACAAACTCTATAAGCCAACTATAACATCAACTAACTATCATGCGACAGTCCATTCGAGAAAACTGTTTTTTTAGCTCAGCGCGAATGGGGAATGTGACGATCTGTGAAACGTCCGGTCGAAGGGACGTGGAGTCCGGTCGAATCGCTCATCGTGGTTTTTTTAACGAACGGACATCGGCAGTGCACTGCACTGGATTTGATGGGCTTCTGATTTTTGCCTTTGTTTGATGGGACATGGCAAATCCTCGGCCCGTCTTCAACTGGGTCTTTGTGCCCATGTCACGCCGCCATGACATGCCATGACATCTATTTGGTGGGTGGGACCAGTGGTCACAAGGCGTTGAGTGATGGTTCGACATGGTTCGACCATTCAGCAGTCCAGAAAGGGCACAGTTCCAGCGGTTCCAACTGAAGGGGTGGTTTTGAGACCCATCCAGTGAGAGGATGTGACAGGGGCACCCCTATCCTCACGTCAACATTTTCACAAGAATCCTTACCAACGAGCTTTATGGATAACCCTCACCATCAGATACCACGAAATACCCTGGAACCCGCAAGCAAGCCTTTGCTGCGCCCACCTCCCCTGCGCGACTGACTTGGCGGTTCCTGCAGGAGGCTTTGGACCTCAAGGCGAACCGCAGCGATGTGCCCACCTTGCAGAACTTTGTGGCGCTGCAGAAGGTGCGAAACGGTGGAGCAGTGGAGACGTGGTGTTCTGCACGCAGTGGCCATCAGCTCAAAACAGAATGCACAGAAGTGGGCAACATCAACAAGTCACTAGGTGTGGAAGGCGTCCTTCGCCAAGCCCTTGTTTGAAACCAGTAAAAAAGGGTTGGCGGAGAGGGTGCCAGACGGCAGATTCGAAACCCGGCAAAAGGGCTGTCAAGGCCACAGGCGTGGAAAGCGTCCTATCTTTATCTGGTTTTGCATTGTATAGTGAAACTCTGTTATCCCAGCATTTTCTTTCCTTGACCTGGTGTTGCACTTTATCACGATCTCTTGTTGCTTCTATTGAGATCTGGCTTCATCACTTCATAAAGGCTTCACTTGTCCATCCCTCAAATGATTTTTTGCGATCTGACTGTGCATTTATATTCTTTATAGAAACGCCTTTGCCAAATCATTTCCTATATATATAGATGCGTTTCCTTTTGCCAGGCACTCTATAGACATCATTTCTCCATCAAATGTTCGGCAAATGTTCCCAGCGGCAAAGAACAGAGGATATATAAAGATATATACCCTTGCAAGAACCCTGTATATGTGTATATATATATATATTCATCAGTACACAGATGTACACAGCGTGCGTTTGGGGTCCTACATTGCGTGATGTCTGTTGCACTTTTATGAACCATGTGTAGTGCTACCCAACGGATGTGATTCCTAAACCAAAAGATCCAGGAATCATATGGAGTGAACTTGCAGTTTCATGGTCCCAAGTCGGCGCGTAACAAATTCAGAACAATTTTACAACACCAAAAAGCAACTGTACTCAAAACAACTAACAACAGTTTATCCCCACATATGCAAAGAGTGAAAACCAATAGCCTTTTTCAGTCTTGGATTCAAACAAAGACACCACGCAAGTATTCAGTGCAGACCGATATGCGTACTGCCCCGGGCCCTGGGCCAAGTTTTGGCAAAGTACATTTTGATTACATCGCCGTTGCGGAAATCCAACCACATCCACATCATTTCATAACGGCCGCGTCGTTCATTTCCCGGCCATCGAACCCATTTGGCAAATCCGATTTGATCAAATTCACACCTTTCGTTTTGCGTTTTCGCCTATCGAGTTGTTTTGGTTCAGTTTGGGCTTTGGTGTTTATAGTTTGTTTGTTTTTTCCGTAGCCATTTTGGCTCAAGAAGACTGCTAGGTCTCGCGCCTATTCTGCATCTCATCTGATTGCATTCACAAGTACCGTTTGGATTACACTTGTGGTCATGATATGTATCAGCTCTGGGAACCGCCGCTTGGGCGCAACGCCTTTAGTTGCCTTCGTTCTTGTCACAGCTTCGCTCGCGCACAATTGTGAGCATACGTGCTACATGAATTTCGTTGACGAGTGTGCCAAAAATTTGGGTGATCGCATCCCGCCTTCAGCGCTGCTTGCTCAGGTCACTCAGGGAATACTTCCAGACTTCTTGCAACCGTCACTTCAATTCTACGTTTGCAAGAGTGTGTCGCTCATTGTATCTCGCCACTCAAGCCTGAAGGACTTGCGGCCGTGATTCCACCAGGTGAGGTTGTCAACAACCTACTCCAGACGCTTGGCTTGCCTCTCGTTGAGCGCAATGCAATCGGTCAGGAACGCCAGCCGGTTTTTGACGATCGTTCTTTTGACAATGGGCAGTACCAGGGGGTTGAAGTTACCACTACTCCTAATCTTCCTGATCATGCTCGTACGCACTCCAATGAGCTGGATTTTGCAGTGCCTCCATTGCCAGTTTTGGATTCTCCTGCTGACCACTCAGGAACTTCATGTGCCTACGGTGACGGTGGTCAAATCTTGCGTGTCAGGCGTGTTCAACTCATTGAGGAGGTTGAGTATCTTCAAACCACACAGCGAGCTTCTGATCCACCGGTACTTGCACAACAGTCAGTGGAATCTTTCGATAAGGCTTTCGCCTTAATGAAGAGTTCCTTTAGCACTACTTCGAGGCCGGTACCTCGCCTACTGGTCGACGGTCTTGGCGATGAATCCTCTTTGCTGGAAACCCACGAGGATTTTTCTGAGGCCTTCCGCCTCATGTCAGCTGTCTCGCAAGCTTCCTCCGATCACCAGAAGGGGGATCGTTCGCCCCCTCAGTTGATTCTCAAGAAAACCACCATTGAGATGGTGGTCAGTGGGCAGTCTCTTTCGGAACATCATGTCGAACCTGTTCCTTATGAGCCCTCCATTACCATTTTGGACAAAAGTCAAGCGGAAGCCCCAGCTTTACTTGGAGAACTTCCACGGTCTGCAGCACCAGTTGCCGCCCAGGACTTCATCCTCCAGCCTAAGGCAATGCCCAACCTTGTCGAGCTGCAAACCACCTCTTCCACGACTACTTTGCCAGTTTTACCGTCCGAAACCCTGTTTGACGCACGTGCCGTTACAGGTGTGATTGTCTTCGTCTCATTTGTCATGCTGGTGGTGCATTTCCCAACAAAACGAAAGTCTTTTCAGCCTGTGGCTGTGTCTCAGGAAGTTCGCCAACCTCATCCACTTCCTTCTGAGACTGAACCATCTGAGCCTGATGATCTCAAGTACCTTCCAAGTCTCAAGATGAGCTTCTACAGATCGACGGTTCGTGCCGTTTTTTTCTGATGCCTCTACGCCTTTGTTCAATGCCTTTTGGAGCTCTCTGGCTTCGGGTGACTCCAATCGTGTTTCGACGGGAAATGATGGTGTTTCTGATTGCTTGAAGCGTCTTGCTCTTTTCCTTGACAAATATTCTGAACCCGGTTCAGGCGAGTTGTACCACCTGATTGTGATTGGCCTTGCTAAGCAGCATTTGAGTGAGAATGGCTTGCTGTGTGTCCAGGCTAATGATGCTGGAAGTTTGAAAGGTGTGCAGTTTCTGCGTATGGTGTTGGAATACCGTGAAGGATTGCTCTCAGAACACCAGGCTGCCAATTTTGTCTTCTATGACAAGATCAATGCCTCTTATCATCCATTGTCCCAACCTGATGTTGAGGTTCAAACTACGGTTTCATACGCCCAGGTTCTGGCATCTGTTGGTGGTTCTTCCAAACCTCTCACCTTGGCGTATACCATCATGCAGGCCATCAACTCAAGCTCTCCCATCAATGAGTCTATTCTTTGTGTTGTTGGATCTGTCAAGTCTCGTGGTGGTGAGTACAACTCCTGTCAGCCTTTGATTGGAAAATCTCGCCAGACTTTTGCCGCTTTGAATGGCTGCATGACTGCGGGTACTTTTGTGTCCTGCAAAACCATTGCTTTGAGCTCCAATGACTTTCCGCAAATCAACGGCGTTGTCTTTGATGTGCAGCCTCTTGAGAAATTGGAAGAAGGTTTTCAAGTCTCTCTCACATGGCGCTCAGCTTTCAATGGGTTTGAGGTCTGGCATTCCACGTACGTCGCAGAGCATCCCTTGGCTGACTTCAAGTTCTTTCGAAATGGTCAAAAGATTGACGCTCCGTACAATTTTAATCAAGGTACAGGTGTTGTGATGCGCGTTGGCTCTTTTGATCCTCTCTCTAAGAAGTTTCGGAATGCGCTCTTCCATTGCGAACTGTCCAGTGAAGATCAATCTGATGTCGGACAGGATATGATTGAAGCTCCTTCCTCACACGATCCTGATGACTCTGATGATTTTATATGATTTTCATGATCCATGTGATCAGCATTCCGACAAGGTCTTCTGGCCGAAGCGTGGCAAACCGTCTCCAAAACCCCGTGTGTATGGAGGTCGCAAGGCATTGTTCATGCTTGCTCTTCTTTGGGAGCTGTCCGCCAAATGCTTTGTGTTCGCTGCCACCAGGGATCCATCTCGCTTTTCCTGGAAGCCGGACCATATATCGGATGATGAGTTCCTTGAGACTCCTTCTCTGTTTGTTGGCGAGAACATCGTTGAGTCTCCTCCCGTGAAGCCAGAGCGTACTGAGATCACGACCATCGCCATGACTCCGCTTGATTTTCAATTTTCAATGCCTCATCAGTTTATGACTCATACCCAGGGCCCTCCAATTGGTGTCAATGAATAGCCCCGAAAAGAGACGATTTGGTTTGTCGATTAACCACCACGACCGCTGGTTTGGCATGGTCTCCTACTGCAAGAGGGCATTGGGTCCTCGGTCCCCAGTCCTCAGTGGTCTCAATTAGTAACGTGTAGAGAGTTGAGTCTTGCTATTAAGATGGTCGGTGGGTGTAACAAAGATGCATTTGAGATGCATGTCGTATTTTTTCAGGATGGTTATGACATGATGTGACATTGCATTTCAAAGCAAGGCTGGCCCGTAAAGTTTAAGCAATTTTTTTGTACGTAACCTTTGTGGGCCAGTTGGGGGTTGTTTTGAGGTTGTTTTGAGGTTGTGACGAAGTTGTGTTGGTTTGCACAGATATTCTAAGCTCTTTGAGAATTTGGCCCGCAGCACGATGGGTTCCCATGTCTGAAATGGTGACAGCAATCTGGGTTGAGGTTCTTTTAGAAAGGAGAGGCACATCTCAGGAAATGGTGTTTGAATGTGTTTGATCCACAAGACGGAAACTTCCAGAGCATTGACAAAGTCATTTGGCAAACATTGACCAAATCATGTGGTCCTTTGTCTTATCCGCCAGGATATGCCCTCACGCGCTGCCATCATGGTGTTGAACAACGCCTTGCAGGGCAAGGCTTCGCTTTTCCCGCACTGGCCTTGGGTTGTCGAATTAAGGTGTTTCCTTTTAAGTTTTAAGTTATTAGTGTTTGTGTGTGTGTGTACTAGAATAGTGAGACTCAGCGAAAATTTCAGCTGATCCATGATTTCAAGATCACTCTCCTTCAGCTTTTGAATGTGGCTATGGCTAGATTACAAGCATGACAAATTGTCCTATTGTTTGGTGTTCCCTATGTTTGCTTTTGTGTTTATGGAAAGAAACGATATGCATCGTGCCGCAGCTACTGAGCGGGTCCCCTTTCGATCGTCAAAAGCGGCCAGGCCAATGCCAACACTGTCGCAACCAAAGAAGAGTTGCAGGCACAGATGGACCGCAGCCTGCCATCCCACTTCTTGGCTTGGGTTTAGGAGTGCTGAACCATGCTGGACCTGGTGCATTTGGTTGGATAGCTATTCCAAAGGTGCTGGCAGTTCAGGAGTAAATATATAACATATCCCTTGTTGGCATTGGAACTCAGTATATAACTCCTTGGTCTTCAGTTTGTGACCGAACTTGATACTCTGTGGTGGTTTGGGCACGGCCTGAACAAAGGTCTTTGATGGTCTTTGTAGGAATCCTGGAAATGCTCCGTATGACGATTTTGGACGAACCAGGCCCTTGCTGTATTCTTCGCTGAACAGTCACCGGGGTAGTGTTTGTGGATTTGTCATGTGAGTCCATTGGTATGCCATTAGGTCTGCAATGTTTCAGGGATTTTCGTGCAAGGTTTGCCTTCAGAATCAACCAACGACTGCATTTGGCCGCTCGAGTCTCGAGTCGACCCAATCAGTCCGATCGAGTCGAACACATGCCCCCCCTTTCTTCAGTGGGTCACGATGCTTCGGTGCTTCTCTTAAAACAACTATGTTTTTTTTCAATCCATGCCGTTTTCAGGTTCCATGTCAATCTTCCCAGGCGTACCCCACAGTATCTCCCCCTTGGCATCTCCAGGCGTACCCCACAGTATCTCCCCCCTTGGCATCTGGGCATCAGCCGGCATGCGGGTCGGTCAGGCGCTGGTCGGGCTTCTGAACGGCAAAGCAGATGTGACCTCCGTGCCCAACTGGAAGGCGGCTTTTTTTGGAAGAGAAGATCGCCGTGGATGGTCTGGTCTGGGTAGATGGATGTAGATGGCCACCAAGTGACAGGCTATTGATATTTATGCAAAAAAAAGGCTCCAACTACCCTCCTGACAAGGTGGTTGGGCTGGATGAGGCTGGATTGCAGTTGGTGTGGTGCTTCAATTTGTGGGGTGTGGCAGAGCTGATGAGGGGCATCCTTCTCATCGGAGGAGAGAGTGAGACCTAAGGCTCCAAACCGCATCCCGCAGGAGGTAGTTATGTAGACCCTCCTGGCACCCACCCGAACCACCTTCTCCGGAGGTAGTTGGAGGCGGTTTGATTCTGCTCTCCAGAAGGGTGCTAGGCAGAAATGTTCGCAGGAACAGGAACATGGAGATTCATGCTCGTTGGGATGGTGCCCAGCTCAGGCCAGTCCTTCATGTGCCTTTAATTGCTTTCTGTCCCCCACCCGCCGCCACCCCCCTCGCGTCGCCGCAGCGAGCCTGGCCAGGATTTCCACCATTTGCGTGATCGTGTGCAACGCAAAGCAGATCGATCCTTGAAAGCATCGAGTCGACGCAGACCACCGCGCACCACCTGTTCATGGGCAAAGCCTGGAGGATTGTGGGACACCCGGACACCGAATGGTACGAAACAGGCGGAGTCCTGAAATCGGGGGGGTCAATGGAGTCTCCAAACAGGAGTCCCACGCCTTAGGACCCCATCGGAGGTCTGTCTGACTGACTATCGATATCTTCAGATCCTTAGGGATCGAGGTAGTACTACACTCCGAACACATCACATGGAAGTGCAAACCCCCCTGTTTGTAAAGGAAATCTTCCTTTCGGGACCATGCCATCCACTTCCATCTTAGTGAGTCGATCGAGTGAGAAACAAACTGAATCGATTCTGAGCTCGATCCGGGAGATTGTCTGGAACCGGAACCGGCTTTGTTCCCTGAAAAACCATTGGCCTACACCGCGCCTTGTTCGACCTCTTCTTACATTTTCGGGCTGCAGGGTCCGACCCGGTTGTACAATTATATATAGCAAAAACGAAATCTGAGCTGCAGGCGACCGGCTTATAACATTACTTCAGGTATCTCCGGGTCGTTTTCTGCGGCGGGGTTTGCGGTCCATTTGAGTCACCGCTTCTTCTCCAACCGAGCCTTCCGACTGAGGAGAGTCGGTGCCCAGTTTGACGCAGTTCCAGCTGCTCAACACCGCCTTGGCCAAGGTCTCCGAGGGCCAAGGCCGAATCGGTCGGATCGGGCGATGGGTGGCTGGGGATGAAGGGGGTGGAGAAAAGCTGGGTTGCTTACGTGTTGATAAACGAACTAGCTATAAGGATGTTAAATAACCCCCGCATATTTGGAGTGAAAGACATCATCTTCGACTGGGATGATCAACATCTTATGATTATGATTCATTTGGATCATCAGAATGGACTGTCCTGGTGACCAGCAGTAGAGTCGCAGCACGGATGGTCCAGATGTGTTGCATGTGTCAACGACTTGGGTCCGGGTCCTAGTGTTTAAACAATCCTAAACATGCAAAGGCCATACCCACAATTTGTAGAGTAGATGGTACAGAGGGGATGTAATTATTGGAATGTATTGACAGAGCTTATATTGATAAACATGCCCATAGAGGAGCCCAGCTGTGTATTGTCAGACCAGGAGGGTTTTCCACAGCTTTGCTGCGACACCTGACACCTTCGATGCAACATGGGAGACAGAAGCAACCAAAGGAACATAAATTAGGGGATTATGGGACCAATAAAAGGATGGCAACGATGGATGATCAAGACAACTGTAGACTCTATAGAGATTCTTTGGGTATGCACCTGCAGACCAGCTATGAGCGATCAAATGGGCCAACGGCCTAGTTTGAACAAAGGAACTTGTGACTTGAAGGCACTGTGTGGGAGAAAGACCGAACCAAGCCAAAATGCATCCTGAAAAGGGACAACTATTCAGAAGAAAGGCATCAACAGCAATAAGTTGATTCATCCCATGATCCAATAGCCCCGTCCTCAGAAGGTAGGAATTGACTGTTCACAGACCCGGAAACTCCCAAAACCAGAAACAGATGGATGTGTCCACTTGTTTCCAATTTCCACCCCCCCAAAAATGGTTATATAAAGGATCTCAATTGCCAGCTTGGAACAACCCTTCGTTTCTGGTTGATAGGGTCTCCAGGTACGGTATATCACCAATAAAACTAACCACCACACACTTGGTGGACTGACCGAGTGCAAGCTGGATGTTTCACACAAGAAGTTCTGTCCCAGACGCTTGCATGTACGCTTGAATGTAAGCAATGATGATAAACTATTTATAACCATACCACCATCAACAAACCAAATGTGTTATATTCCAATATTCGTTTGTTCTTGCAAGTCTTCGGTTTGTTCTTGCGAGTCTTCGGATCGTGCGCTGTGTGTTCTTCTCACGTGGCACGACCGTTCGCCTCGCGGTCCAGGCGAGTCGTCCTTGAAGCGTCGTCGTTCGCCCGAGCGACTGGGACAGCGTGGGTTCCGGGGGGTCCGGGGGGAACGGAGCATGTGCATGGAAGAACCATCACTAGGACTATAGGTGGTTCAGGGATGGACCAAACTATCTCACTCAGAGGATGGATGAGGATGGTCTAGATGGCTAGCCTGGAGCGCAGAAAAAAAGGTTGATCTTCGTGTGCTCGCCATATGATGTCAAGCAAAGTGTAGGCAGAACGGAGAATATATAGATATATATATATATATTATACGCAACTATACATAAAAACAAGAGAGCAGACAAGAAACGCCATTAACAAAGACAGGATTACATTTTTATTGGGCATGTGACGCTGGCCTGTTTCATAAGCAAAACTATTTGATCCTTCTGATAGACCCTCATCTCTGGAAGTGCATGCTGCGTATGTAGCAGCTGCGTCACCTGGTTTCACCTGGTGTTCCTTTTTGCTTCTATTCACGTGCTTGATATTCGCACGTTTGACATGTGGGGTTTTGCATCCATAGTTAGGGTTGCCCATAGGATGGTGTTCTTCATGCGTTTCATGAAATTGTTTGCATGGTCGCAGTCACACCCTTGTTGGATTGATATTATCAAGTTGTTGCTCAGCTATGTTCGTTGTCACTTATTTCTTCTCACCAATCTCACAACGTCTTCGTGTGTTGCACATGTCTGTTTCAACAGATTATCATTAAGTGTCGTGCAAATAAATTGTGGCGGTTGCTGGGGGGGCGGGAGGTGGTTCGTTACCTGCATAAATATATCATTCTTGATAGATTATTGTCATCACCGCAGCATTGTTAAAGAGGATTGGCATCATTAAATTGGGGTGCGGATCCTGAGGTTGTGATCGTCATCGTCATGTTGGCCTACCAGTAATACTCTGACCCCCGCTTTGAAAGACACCGGCGAGAAGGCTTTTGATGGCTATATAGGTTGAAGTTGATATAGGCAGGGCCAACCACAGGTGTTTTTTGATTGTCATCTCGGATCATGCAGCATTCTGCTCCAAACCGAAGCAATTATGTTTGTTTTGTTGTCAAAGCTTACTGCAGTGGTGCCTTGCTGTGACAGTGAGGTGTGGTACTCGGTAGCTCTTTTTTTGGCTGATCAAGAGTTTATATATTGGCCGAGAATCAAGCGGCCGAGATCATGTGAAGCATTGCTGTAAGCCGTATGGCGTAGCAAAGCTGTCCCAATCAACAGTGACAACGCGATGCTGCTTTTTGTTCTGCGACACGGCTATTGAGCCCTTGTGACTTTGTGACACGTCGGCCTGTCACGATTCGCATGCCCATGTGAAAGCCTGATAATTTTGTGGATGAAGAGTGGAAACAGTTTGGATGCCTAGATTTTAGTGTTGGTAGTACCAACTGCACCTTCGACACCCCGAAACTACCAACCCAACAAGCGTGATCGCACACGGAGACAACACCGCACACGTCAAAGCATATCGCATGATCTGCAGGGGTATGTGCATCATAGTTTTGTCTGTTGAGAGCACCACACCAGCTCTTGGCACGACGGAGAAAGCCCATATTTATGGCGTAATTTCTTTCCGCCCACAAGTGTTTCTTTGAGTGTCAGTTGCTCATTATGTTTGTTATTATTGAAATATGTATGTTGTATGCATCCTTCAAATGTCTAATACCTTCTTCCGGACATGTTTCCAACTGCCCACTCTTTTTCCAGGATCATGCTCAGCTGGGGGGGGGCAAGACAGGCTCGATTCACCTGAGATCAACTGAATTTGGTTCACTATTACATTACATAATTTTACATCTAGTAGATTAGAGTATCCTTTATATAGTATAGTTTAGTTTAGTATAGTACATTATATACCTGGACCCTCCTGTCGGGGTGTCCTGGCTGGACTACCCCATACTACCGGCCTAGGCTTCCAGACAGGGCACCCTGACAGGAGGGTCCTGGTATATGTTGTATAGTAAATAATGTCACCAAGTCTTGGTTCACTGATCCGACCGGGATTTTCTTGCGGTTCGCGTCCTCCGGGGATCGGATCATTCCAAGGTGCCGGACGGAGTCGCCAGGCGCAGCCGGACGGGAGGACTCGTCGCGTCCGGGATGTTGGGAATGGGAAGATCGATGTGTGGATGTGAGACTCTGGTGGTTCACATGCATGTCTCATGACATTCTGGTGAAGATCCATTTGATAAAATCCATCAATCTGTATACGATTGTTCTCTGACGATCGGTGAGAATCGGATGTGAAGATGGTGGGATGTGAAATCTGCTGATTTTAATCTGACCAGTGAGACTCGGAACCACCAAAGGTTAGGACGATGTTTCTTGCTTTGCTCTGAGGGCCAGGGGATTTCTGTTTTGGTTGCTTGCAACAGGTCACCCTATTTCAGTGCACACACAGACGGCCTATGGAGCAAAGACTTCGGTCGTTTGGACAGGTCGGGCCGGAATGGGTTCTTTCCATTTCTTTCATGTGCAATGAGTTTTCCCAAAGTGGTGCGAACGGGTCGATAGATGTTCTTTTGTTTTCTTTTTGTTTCTGCGGTTCTGTGAACAAGTTGTTTTTTGTTTGTTACTTTATTCTTTTCGGGTGTTCCTTGGTTGATCCTGGGTGAAGTAAACCCCTGGCTCTTGGTCAGATATTTCTATCTTCTTCCCGGTTTCGGAGAGCTGCAGTCTTCGAAGTGAGAGCTGCAGTCGACACTCGACGGGGAGCGGGACGGGACGTGGAATTCGAAGGTGCCCAAGCAGGTTCTTCCTGGGATGGGTGTTTGGAGGGGTCAGGCGACAGGCGACCTATCTCTCAAATGAAGACCTCAACCACCAGCACCTTCCAAGCCCGGTGGTTTCTGGACACCCCGAATCACCACTAAGAGGCTATTTATAGACACCTCAGAAGGAAGGTCCTGGTACCTGGTTCTTCAAGTTGTGACCCGAAATCGGATGTTTTTCAGTCTGCAAGCCAAGCCTTTCGAGTCACTGGCTGCGAGCCTCAAACGGTCACGTGGTCTATGGTTTTCCATGGACATTTGGATCTGTCCTCAACAATATTCAGACATACTCAGACCAATCAGGTGAAATTTAGTGGCATGTTCGCCATGTTTGGAGGTGTCCTGATTGATTGTCCCGGTGCCCATCATGTTCGCCCATGGTCCTCATTGTGGTTGAAGTAGGGCGAGTCCTTGGACCGGTTTGACCTCGAAAACACCCTGAGGTCGGGCCGCCCGTGGGGATTCTGAGGGATCGTTGCTGGGAGTCTGAGGGATTTTAGAGGGACCCTATGAGCTGAAGACAACGAATCCCTCACTCCCTGCAAGCGCCTAAGGTGGGTTCCGATGTGCAAGCGGCACTGTTGGAGGCCTTTTGTTGGGAGTGCCCCCCAAACACCCCAAGGTGATAGAAGACGCAGGTGATTTTGGCACGTCACAAACCGGTGTGGTGGAATTGAGGCACAACCCCTTCAGTGATTCAGGAACCATGTCAAACCACCAGCAATGTGCTGTGCTCTTTTGGGACTTCCAGGCTGTGGCACGCCCTTGCCACAGAGACTGTGCCCGGGCACTCCGCGCCCCCGAGTGGCGACGCTTGGAAGCAAGTGAAGTGGCAACGTCAAAGCCGACCCCAGACCTTCCGAAAGAGGTTGAGTGTCCTTATAGGGCCCTACTGAGGTACCCATGGGATGGTCTATATAGGGTTCTTGGTTCTCTCTGTTGGTTAGTGTCGATCAAGAACCCCCTCCGGATCCAGAACGCTTACCTCTGCAGGCCTGGGGGTGCTTCATTCATCAGTCTACATGACCAAGTGATGCAGAGAAGGAAGCATAAGACCTACTGAGACCTCCTGCCTTTGCCCCAAGACTCAAGACAGCACACTGGGCACCATCATGACAAGGGCTACTGTGGGCGCCGAACGTTGACTGCGGCTTCCGGGGCAGAGGCACCTGATGTAATATGGGTGGGAGCCATGCCCTCGACTACTTGTAACATAGAAGAAACCCACCAATTTGATCCAATTTGTATAGAGAAAGACCTTCCAACCCGCCGTTTTGTGCGAAGAACAAGTGGAAATCCGATCCATCGAAGCTATCGGCTGCTGGCTGCTTAGGCTCACATGCAAGGGGTCCAGATCCATCAAGGTATATGGGAATCCAATTTGTTCTTGGATCGAATCTACACAAAATAGTGTTTCCAATTTCTCATGATGAGATAAATATATATATTATATATATAGATACATATATGAACATATATTATGACTCCTCTCATGACGTGTTGATCAACACCTTTTAAGAAATTTAAGTTGTTCAAAGAGGTCAAACAGCGTACGCAGTCAACCGAAACGCGCATCAGCCCAGATGCACTAATGACAAAGCCATGCTTTTGAGATTCGGAATGACGTTCACCACCGACGAGCTCAGGGGCATGTCTTCGCGGATCAACACTGCCTATATACCGTAGGGCTCCAACCACCGCCGTTTCGAAGATGGTTGGGGTGGATTTGGGGGGTCTATGCCCACATTCTGAGGATATGGTTGGAGCCCTAGGAATATTGATAATATTTTGTGACTTCTTGATGTTCCTCATGTTGTAGGCGAAGATGCGCAAGTTGTCTCTCAGGATCTCTCTCACCCTGTGAACTGTATTTTGTGTTTGTGTCCACATGATACTCCCAGCAAATTTGAATATAACTTCTTTGACTTGCGTTACATATATATCCTTGGTCTTCCTCGGCCCCAGAATCGGGGGCCCCTTAGGTACTTGCTCAAAACAGCAAATCAAAGGCCTCCCAGGTACCGCTGACATAACTATTCAAAACTGAGTGCTTAGGAGACCATCCAAAGCTTTTCCGCATTTTCTGCAGTGTGACACAGCGTCACAAAGCAAACATCAAGGTGTGAGACAGAGGATTCTTGCAATATGATTCTCATATTTTGACTTCATAATTCTTCTCCATAGCAATTGAGGTAAGAAATATGTTTTGGAATTGTATTTTTTGTCTTGCAAAAATGTTTGGACAATTGCGAACTAAATGAATGTCTTGCAAAAGAATGTTACTGCAGCGGCTTGGCACTTGTGGAAGGCAAGACACTCGTCTCTATGATAGCTTTATAGCGGTAAACTGCTCATTTATAGGGAACCCGGGAACCTGAAGTGAGCGTGATGTACCCGTGAACACGCGCCTCAAAAACCACATAAGCCCCCAGATACCAATAAAGACCGTGAGGTAACCGTGATGTAACCGTGAAATCCCTCAACAATGATCATGCTGTGGCACTCCAAAACCTAAAAAACAATGACATTCATTGTTCAATTGTCAATTCTTTTGCAAGACATTCTTTGTTGATGAGGATGGGATGGGGTGGATACGCAAGTGTGCGCCACGTCTTCACCGCCGAACATTTGAGTACAGCCTGCTTGAGAGAGCGATTTATCGGCTGCTCGTGTCCAAAGAGAGGTGGTGTGAAGCAGCATGGGCAGTGATGAAAAAGGGTCCAACCTACCAGAAACATGGTGTGGGTCACACAAAAACTGTGATGGGAATGTGTTCTTTCCATCTTCGTTGTGAGGCAGTGATAGTATGATGTTATGAATATACCCCTTGAGGGGTATTTGGTGGCCTAGGGCTGCACAAGACCGCCCTCTTAAGCAAGGCCATGGTTTCCAAAGCCCTTTGGACAATAACGGATATAAGTTACATTTAGTTATACCGTATATGATAGTATATATATATGGTTCAATGCACGTGAATGTGCCCAGCCATGTGGATTTGGGCCGGCTCTCCAGCCGCTCATCTGAGGACTCCATGCCCGGGGACACCCAAGCCAGCAGAGCAGAGACTGGTCTCGGAGGTATTGGGAGGTGGCTTCCACGGATGCAACATGGTCTAACACATGCTCCCAGAATTTCTGTCTATTGGGATTTGGTCCATTTGTTGGAGACGGCGAGGATTCGATAAAGCCTCCCTGAAACATCGCCCGCCGTGTCGCAGGCCATGTGCCCAGTTTTAGGGTGGACTGGTTGCAGGTAGATAGATGAACAAGAATATCAGTGGGTAGATACAGTAGATAAATGATATTTATAGATTGATAGATGCAATGATTGCTGTAGATGGACGACCCCTTCACTGTTTGGTAAGAACTTGCCTCCAGTTGAAGTGAAGATCACATCCTGCACAGTGTCACGGCGAAAAAACAAGTCTTCCAGCAAAGGCCATGCCCTCTACATACTCCCATTGATTGGTAGCTCAACAAATCGGGGTGGCCACCCAGGTGCCATCGAAACACCCAGCTGGTGTAAATCGAAGAAGTGTCCTTCCTGACTGCTTCGAACAATTGAGCTTGTAGTGCAAGCGCTTCTTCACAGTCAGGATGCCTCTGCAAGTGAAAGAGCAAGTGAGTGTGAGAAGCTGCATAGCGACCCAACTTGAACTCTGCTTCGGCCAAGAGGAAAGCGGGCACGCTCAACTTCTTTGCCCTGAAGCATTGCCATGAAGAACTTTCTCCAACTGTTCCACGCTGGTCAACGGACGAGCCGGGGCCTGCGCGACAGGGACGTTTCTCAAGATGCGCATTTTTGAGCTTTTCGAGGCGCGAAAAGCTCAAGAACGCGCGTCTTGAGAAACGAGGTGACAGGTGGAATTGAGCCCAGGGCCTCTCGCGCCCGAAGCGAGAATCATACCACTAGTCCAAACCACCAAAGATAAACATGAACACCACAGGAAAATTGAATCTCCCACACTGGTGGAGAGTCGACAGAAGCGCTGCTACTTGGCTGCACTCGCCGACGATGATAACGCTTAAGGCGCGCTGCTAATGCTGATGCTAGTAGCAATGGTAATGCTCGTGGCAATGCTAATGCGGCTAATGGTGCGGGTAATGGCCATTCACCCTTGACCTGTGGCAATGCTATATGGGACCTTGATGTCATTCACCATGCTCATGGGAACGGTAATGCAATTTTCCCCGTGACCTGTGGGAGGTTAATGCTGATTATGGCACTGGGAATGCGAATGACAATGCGAGTGCTGATGCCAATAGCATTATGGTAATTCTTATGGATATGCTAATCATATTGGTAATGCCATTCACCCTTGACCTGTGGCAATGCTATGTCGGACCTTCATGCCATTCACCATGCTAATGGGAACGGTAATGCAATTTTTCCTGTGAGCTGTGGGAGCTTGATGCTGATGCCAATGCTTATGGCACTGGCAATGCTAATGCTGATGCCACTAGCAATGGTAATGCTGATGGTCCTGGTAATGGTAGGCGTAAGGGCCATTCACCCTGTGACGTGCGGCAGTGCTAATGGCAATGGTAATGCTCATGACAATGGTGATGGAATGCCATTCACCCTTTGACCTGTGGGAGCTATGCACCCTGTGACCTGTGAGAGTGGGAGCTTGGTGCCGTTTACCCTTGACCTGCGGCAAGGGGGATCACAATGGCAATGCCTGTTGCAATGGGAATGCAATTGGTGATGGCGATGCAAATGGCAATGGTGGGGGTAATGCCATTCACCTGGTGAGCTGTGGGACCTTGTTGCCAATCACCCTCTGGTTGAGGCCACACACTCTGTGACCTGTAGCAATGGTTGTGCTAATGGCAATGGCAATGCTAATGACACTTGTGATGGCAATGCCATTCACCTTTTGACCTGTGAGGGCTTGATTGGAGAAAGTCAATTGTTCAGATCCAGTTGCCAAAGAAGAACAGCTGTCCAAAAGAAATATGCGAAACCGTCACCGGAGATCAATCCAAGAGAAAAAGATTCGCAAAGAGCGTGCATGTGATGACTTCTTTGCTGACAAGACCACCCCTGAGATCAGGAGAGCCCCTACGCTGACCATCCGTCAAAAACTCGATGTGGTGGAATATGCTGAGAACCTGATCAAAGACATGAAAGCAACACCCAAGTGGAAGAGGAGAAGAAGGCTCCCGAAGTTTCACTAGCGAGTCCATTTTGCAAAGGGCGTCTGCATACAGAAAGCTTGCGGGCAAAAGTTCCACTACTTGGGCAAGATCAAGGTTTGCAACCTCATCCAACAGTGTGAAGAACAATGCTGGAAACCTTTGAGTTTAGCGCAGCAAAACCGCTGGTACCAACTTCCGGACCATCTGAAGTCGGCAATGGGCTTGGGCGAAGAATTTGAAGAAGGGACCTCCTTGCGCTACAAGAATTTGAAGAAGAAGTTCAGCTGGCGTTTGCTAGCGGCAAAGCGTGGCATCATCAGAGAACGCAAGCTCGAAGATGGCCGACGCGAACGCATGCCAATTCCCAGGCCTGAAGTTTTAAGTGCCAAAGGTTTTATCCTACAGATCACAGAGCAGCGCTCAAGGCCTGTGTAGTAACGCTTAGACCTGCGCAACATTCATGTCCCATTTCCACGCTGCAGGTTGGCTTGTGGCAACCGCGGCTTCTTTGGCTTGTGTGACTGCGGCAAGCGTTGCTTGTGTAACTGCGGCTGCCCTGTCAGGGCTTGATGCTATAATGCTAACAGCACTGGGCATGCCAATGGTAATGCTAATGCTGATGCTAATAGCAATGGTAATGCTAATGCTCTGGGCCAAAGTACTGGTAATGACCATTCGACCTGTGGCAATGCGATGGTGATGGTAATGCCATTCGCCTGTCGCCCCGTGAGCCGTGGGAGCTTCATGCCATTCACCCTGTCACCCTGTGACCTGTGAGAGCTTGATGCCCCTCGGGGGGGGGTCGGCGAAAACAAATATGGAACCAAAAAAGAGCTTTTTTTTGCCGACCCCCCCCCAAGATCCGGTGAACTAGGAAGACTACTACTCACGAGCAGACCACGAGCACCTACCAACGACTACGCGGTCTCGTCCTCAACGTCTGAGCACCTTCAACATGCAAAGTCCTAAAACAAGCGTTTTCGAGAACACTGGCAAACGCAGGACCGTATAACGTCCTTTTCTGAAAAAGAAAGCAGGCTTCAACACCTCCTCTAACCTTGCATCATCGAACTCTAGAAGGCCAAGCCAAAGACCTATGGTAGCCCAAGCTTCTTGAACAGCTGCAAAACTTGGAGCATCAAACATCTTTTCACTCATCACTCTTCCGCTTCTTATCAGGCTGCTTGGGTGACATCTGTTTCAAAACGGGATGATCCTCACACTCACCATCCTCAGCACCCTCCATGGATGCTGCTGCTGTCAGTGCGGACTAACTTCCGGGCATGTCCATGCGACTTCAACTATCTTCAACTCAGCATGCTTCTTCTTGGCCTTGTTATACTTTCCGCGCTTCTCACCACGATCTTTACGGATCGCTTTCTTACAGTCATCTTCCTGCCATGACGGTACATGTCTAAGGTCAGCAGGCTTTGCCTCCTTTCTTTTTGGAGGAACTGTGTGGTGCACTCTTGCAGGATGTGATGCGCTGCATCCGTGCTTGGACCATACAGAGAAACAATCATGTAGGAGAAAAGCAGTGAGGATGTGGCTTGCGACCCGAAGGTTTGACGCAGCTGCACTGAAACTGTAAAAGCACGCTCGCAAGGAGAAGCTTGCCCAGGGGAAAGCAAAAATGTGGAAAGCAAACGTTCAGCACCTTCATGCTTGTGAGTTTTGCCGTCAACAAAAACTTTCACCGAAAGATCTTCATCGCATTCAAACTTCTCCTTTTGGAGCAAAACATCTCGGAAAGAAAAAGCTGACCGCATCTGATCAATGCACTCACTTGGGTCTAGGTTCAGGTGAACATCGATTTCATGGATGGCTGTCCGGGCCGCAGCAGCATTGTTCAGCAAACTAAAGTTGACCCTCCAGATGGGCACCCTTTGAGGTCACCTTGGCCAATATTTTCTGTTTTTTTTCACATTGTGTTGACCATAGTTAATCATATTTAAGCATAAAACTGTCACAAACAAGATTTAATTTATTAGGAATTACTCAAAGAAAGTAAGAATGACACAGATATGATTAGAAATTCCCCACCGAGTAAAAGTATGAGTGAACCAAAAGTGTTTTCACGAGTGGAGCCACGAGTGAAGTTGCAGTGAACTTGCAAACAAAATGAAAGTTCAATATGTCCTTTTAGGATAAGTTGACGAGTCGAGCGACAAGTCAACTTACAAAACAGAATGAAAGAAGTACTAAGTACAAACGGTTCCTTTGCGATTATCGACGAAGCCAGGAGCACTGTGCTGTCAGAGATTGTAACAAGTTACTTGTTACAATCCCTGACAGCACAGTGCTCCTGGCCTCGTTGAAGGTTTTTGAAACTAGTAACCTTTGGCTGAAGAGCTCTGTGCTGGCAGGGATTGTGACAAAGTAAGGTTTTTGAAACTATATTGGCTGAAGGCATTGAGTAATCTTTTTGCAAGTAGTCAAGTTTTGGCTGTGCTGGCAAGGGTTGTACGGTCTGGCATTCTACTTGTCATGTATTCTGGGATTCTATCTGGCACATCCTCTGACGTCCTTTTGACAGCCATTCTGGCATTCTATCAGGCGTTCTATTTGCCAAATGTTGTGTGTTCTGGCATTATATATGGCACATCTTCTGACATCCACTCTGGCATTCTATCGGGCAATACCGGGCACATTTTCTGGCATCGGTCCATGCGCGCATTTGGTGTGACATCCTTTTTGGCGCTCTATCTGGCATATTGTTTGGCATTCTCGATGGTGCAGTTGTGTGCGTGCCCAGACCGGGCTGCGGGCCTCTACGGTGTGCAGGTCCGTTTCTGCCCAGACTGAGCTGGCATTCACTGTGACATGAGTACGGCATGATGGAAGGGGAGTGGGGTGAGGAGAAAGACAGAGGGCGCAGGAGGAAGGAACACCACCTTTTGAAATCCAAAAGACACTCATGCGGTAGGGAGAATCAAATCACACCAGAATTCCCGTGCCTTCGTCGACGTCACCATACAACCGCCCACCTGAGGACTCCATGCCCTGGGACTCCAAGGCCCAAGGTCGCGAAGAAGAGTCCACCCACTGAGGCGTCGGCTTGGTGGGCCTGCAGGATCTATAAAGACCCCCTCCTCGGTCGTGCAAGTTTTGTTCCATACGCAGGAAAGTGGAAAGTCTTTTGAATGGGTTTCATATGGTTTCAGTTGAAAACAGCTCGAACAAGGTTCAGTTGTATTGTCTATAAGTTTTTAAGTATAGGTAAAAAGGATGGATTCAATTTTTGTCAGGGTGGGTCATACCCTCCACGATCGCGATGGAGTGCTGTTTCCACTCAGCAGTCGAAAAAAACCTTTGTAAAAATGCAAAGCAATCAATCACAGGACATGTCAAGCGGCATCGGCCATTGCAAAATCCCAGTGGATTGAAGAACTGTCCAAAAAGATCCGCCGGGACCAGGTTTGAAGGCAACCTTGGGAATTGGTCTCGTGGAACTGACGACACCTATTGATTGGGCGAGAGCTTCTAGTGTGGTTTTGGGATTTGGACGGGAATCGATTGTAATGTGGCGGATTCAGGTATTCCACTTTGAACACATCAATCCAACTCTTTCGCAAGGTAGGTTTGCCCCAAATGACGCCTACGCAACATACCGTTTCAAAAACAGTTGAATGCAGACATTCTGACCCCAACTGTGGATACCCACCATATTAATATCCTCCATGAAGGCTAGCAAATTCTCACCTTTCGAACACGTAGCACGCAGTGATCTTTGCTTTGTATATAACCTCCCCAAATCTACAGTACTTGAAGACGATCCGATTTTTTTTGTGTGTGTGTGAAGCCCATCCTCAACAATCCATGTATGGAATATATGCCTACATTGACCCCCTGAAACTACCCCAATGTAGAGAAAAAAACCTTTTCTTTTTGTTTTCGGATTGATGGGGCAATGGTCTTCGCATGGTGCTTGGGCCTTTCCCTGTGACCTTCACGACTCTCACGACCGTTCCCGTCCCGCTCGGCTCCGCCAGGCTCGGGACGCGGACGCTCCGGCCTTGACCCCCTTCGGGCGCAAGGCAGGAGACCGGAGAGTGCCACGGAGCCCATGGAGTCCGGGGAGCTTCGGTGGAACAACGGGTGCTTCCTTTGGTGGGGAAACGGGTGTTCAATCCACATTATGGTACAGAAAATAAGAAAATAACACTGCTGAAAAAGTGCACAAGGCTTGAACTCCAGTGTGAATCATTGAACTCCAGGGTGTTGTTTTGACTTTGTTGGTAATTACATTGACATTGTCCAAGCTCCCGGAGACTCGACTGGGGACCGGACTTGGACTGGGTAGCAACTTGCTGGGTAGCAAACGCGTAAAGGACGTTGTGATGGCAGGTTCCAAGATGTCCTTGACCTTTGGAACTCG